TTGGTATACAAACTGCCGAAAAAAGTTCATCAGATTGAACAATTTAACAAGAGCGCTGCATTAAGCATTCAATAAGAATTGTATGTGGTACGAAGTGAAGTCGACAACATGTAAAACTACATGACTACGTGTGCGTATGTAAGCAAAATTATTACTTTGTAAAAAAAAGTATGCGCGCATGTCAGTTGCCAAAAGAAGTAAAGCAGTGCCGAGTTTGTGTGGTGGGTGGGCGATGGATAGGGTGGTGTGCGTGGAACGGAAGTAGCCAAATATAGGTAGGTGTAACACATTGGACTTTACCACATCCGGTAATATATCAGCAGATGCTGCCCCTTAGCCAGATGCAGTGCGCCATGCACAATGACATAGGCAAATTCAACCTCCACACAACTGCCCATCGGGCTACGGTGAAATTGCGAACTTGTTAAAGTTCCAGCCAACAGTTCCTCACATATTTAACAGATATATATAACAACCGGTTGGGACGTGATTTTTCAAATGATGTCGACAAGTGAAGTATATATAAAATAAAATGCCAAGATAAGTTAAAATACTCATAAAACACACACAAGACATATGCAACAGGCCGTAAAGCGTGCTTAAACTTTACATGACCAAAGAGCACTGTTAAAAACTAAACTTTGTTTAACAAATCCGAAGAAAGCTTTCCACATCTTTTTAAAAATTACTTTCAAGTAATAATTGCTTTAAATTGTTTTTCGGTCTAAATTTAGAGGGCAAATGGGTTTACAGGAAAAGACATTTGTTATTTCCGCCCTTGTGTTCTCAAAAGGGCAGCCCTCTCTGCAAGTCACCCGAATCACGGACTCAGGAAAGCCCACAGTGGCATGTGAGCGAGACCTCTCGGCTCTACTAAAAAAAAACAATAGCTGCTACAACCTTGGCACACACCCTCCGAGTATGCAACGTTTTCTAACTACAGTTAAGTTACCGAATGCTTTACGTATGCAGATAATATTACAACCAATAAAACTGGACTATGTAAGTTAACGCATCCGGGGACTCGTTTTAGAAAATAAGCAACAACCCTTATTTTGAAAAGTCACGTGTATATAGATCTAACAAAGTTTTTTTTTAAATGTTGCTCTCTTGAATTCGTAGTTTTATGCCTTTTTCCATTCCGTGTTTTTTGTAAAAAAAAAGGCGTAAGCACCAAGATTGATTTGATTTACAAAACGGATAACGAATCTATCGGAAACGCAGTAACACCGAGCACGCTATGAGGCTTGCCAAATAATATAATTGGCCATCTTTAATATTTATTTACAGTGAGGGAAAAAAGTATTTGATCCCCTGCTGATTTTGTATGTTTGCCCACTGGGAAAGAAATGATCAGTCTATAATTTTAATGGTAGGTTTATTTGAACAGTGAGAGACAGAATAACAACAAAATCCAGAAGAACGCATGTCAAAAATGTTATTAATTGATTTGCATTTTAATGAGGGAAATAAGTATTTGATCCCTCTCAATCAGAAAGATTTTTGACCCCCAAGTGTCTTTTATACAGGTAATGAGCTGAGATTAGGAGCACACTCTTAAAGGGAGTGCTCCTAATCTCAGCTTGTTACCTGTATAAAATACATCTGTCCACAGAAGCAATTAATCAATCAGATTCCAAACTCTCCACCATGGCCAAGACCAAAGAGCTCTCCAAGGATGTCAGGGACAAGATTGTAGACCTACACAAGGCTGGATTGGACTACAAGACCATTGCCAAACAGCTTGGTGAGAAGGTGACAACAGTTGGTGCGATTATTCGCAAATGGAAGAAACACAAAAGAACTGTCAATCTCCCTCGGCCTGGGGCTCCATGCAAGATCTCACCTCGTGGAGTTGCAATGATCATGAGAACGGTGAGGAATCAGCCCAGAACTACACAGGAGGATCTTGTCAATGATCTCAAGGCAGCTGGGACCATAGTCACCAAGAAAACAATTGGTAACACACTACGCCGTGAAGGACTGAAATCCTGCAGCGCCCACAAGGTCCCCCTGCTCAAGAAAGCACATATACATGCCCATCTGAAGTTTGCCAATGAACATCTGAATGATTCAGAGGAAAACTGGGTGAAAGTGTTGTGGTCAGATGAGATCAAAATGGAGCTCTTTGGCATCAACTCAACTCGCCGTGTTTGGAGGAGGAATGCTGCCTATGACCCCAAGAACACCATCCCCACCGTCAAACATGGAGGTGGAAACATTATGCTTTGGGGGTGTTTTTCTGCTAAGGGGACAGGACAACTTCACCGCATCAAAGGCACGATGGACGGGGCCATGTACCGTCAAATATTGGGTGAGAACCTCCTTCCCTCAGCCAGGGCATTGAAAATGGGTCGTGGATGGGTATTCCAGCATGACAATGACCCAAAACACACGGCCAAGGCAACAAAGGAGTGGCTCAAGAAGAAGCACACCAAGATCCTGGAATGGCCTCGCCAGTCTCCAGACCTTAATCCCATAGAAAATCTGTGGAGGGAGCTGAAGGTTCGAGTTGCCAAACATCAGCCTCGAAACCTTAATGACTTGGAGATCTCCAAAGAGTGGGACAAAATCCCTCCTGAGATCTGTGCAAACCTGGTGGCCAACTACAAGAAACGTCTGATCTCTGTGATTGCCAACAAGGGTTTTGCCACCAAGTACTAAGTCATGTTTTGCAGAAGGGTCAAATACTAATTTCCCTCATTAAAATTCAAATCAATTTACAACATTTTTGACATGCGTTTTTCTAGATTTTGTTGTTATTCTGTCTCTCACTGTTCAAATAAACCTACCATTAAAATTATAGACTGATCATTTCTTTGTCAGTGGGCAAACGTACAAAATCAGCAGGGGATCAATACTTTTTTCCCTCACTATATAATCTGCACGTTTATAAATCACACTTTAAAGAAATGCTATACGCCTTCTGCAGTATATCTACCCACCTCTTCGTCACGGTCTGTGAATTTATAAGCTCGGAACCATCTTACACCCCCATAAACTACTCAATATACAGAAAACAATCATCACGTTGCATTTCCGATATAATTTATCAGTATTCTTACATGCATTAACACAGACCAAAATCATTCATTATAAACACCATCAAAGCGGAGGGGGGGGGGGTTATACAATGCTGATTTCCAGCTGGGATTGTGGGTGACTCAAGGTTCCTGACACCAAGTGAACTGAGGTGAACTTGATGTATTTGTGGAAGTCATTTGCATGTCTACAATCAAACAACTGTGAGAAATTGTATGCATTAAGCCTTAAAACCACTTGTCAAGCAGACAAGTTGATAAGGGTTACAGTGAAAAAAAATAAACTTCGAGTTGGCTTGCCAATTTTCCATTACAAACGCTAGGAAGACTCACCGTCTGTCACTCGAACAAGTACCACAGCCAGTGAGTGGGGCAGGAGGGATTTCTCTTCCAGCTACATCTCCCCATCTAGTATAAGACTGACCCCTAGTGGAAACAGCGTGCCCTCAGTCAATAGCTCCCAGGCATTCAGCATATCTGAGTGACCAATCTTTCTCTTCCAAGATCGCAATCGATGCTGTTCAATGGAAATAATATTTTTTTTTTACAAAAGCGTATTGCAGCCATGCCAAATTGCATCACCTGACCATGAGACCACATTTTCACAGCTCATTTCAAACTCTGCATGGTGCTTTGGCTGTGGCTACATTTGCTCAATTTGACACTCCTAAAGTGAAAATGTACAGCAATGACTGAAGCCAAAATTACAAAAGGAGTTGTTTCCACTTAGACCTTTCCAAAATGTCTCAAAACGTCAATGTTTAAATCCCAAGTGTACGAGACAGCATCACTCATTAACACAAAAGCCATAACTCCTCGGTGCCCTCCTGTTTACCTTCTCCATCTACTTGGAAGAGATCATATACTGTATACACACCTCTGTGAAATTCTGCACACAATCCTAGTGATCAACAAAAAATGTCAAACTTAACTTTATAACAAATTAGTGTTTCACTTCCATGACCCATCAATGAAACTAAACTTTACAAAATTAGGCAACTTTAAACAACAGGCATAAAGTGTAAAACATCAACACACCCAACATTAACATACTGTACATGGTATATGTGGATATTTATATTGGAAAAGGTCATGGGAGCCACTATATCATGGTATATCAAATTATCTAAAAATGGCAATGTAATAAACAATTTTAAGTGTTTTTCATGTTGTTATGGCTATTTAACAGTGCTGCGCACTGGCAAACCAGCACTGTTCTCAGACGTCTCCATGTATGTATATTTAACTTCTTTCGCACCGTACGTAGCCAACCGTGCTATATCGGAGGTGCGGAGGAAGGTCAACAATCTTGCGGGTTTGTTGACAAAACTTCACCATGCTGTGCTGGTCAGCAGGGGGGTTCAAGATGTAATTCGTCACTGTGAGCCACTTCTGAGCATCCAACCCATGTTGTTGGGTCCATAGCGCAGCGTAGAACCACTGCGCACAGCTGTACCTATGTCTACTTAACTGCCAAAAATGTAAGGATATTTAGGGACTGTCATTTCTACTTTAACTGTTCTTGTAAAACCTTATTTGCAGTCAGGATGCATTCCCAGTTATGTACAGAAAACAGACCCACATTGCTAACTATACAAAAATGTCTTTCATTTAAACAGCAGAATATTAAAATATCACTCATCCACTCCAATGTTTTAAAGAAAACTATATTTTCTTGACTTGAAGCTTTCGTGACTGCAGGAATTCATATTCTTTGGGTCTTTCGGTAAAGCCACGTAGATAGGTTCAAATTAATAAAAAATAAAATTTATAAAAACTACGACGTCTTGATCACAACACAAGTGATCGTCCTCCCGATGACGATCGCTTGTGTTGTCATCGAAACGTCGTAGTTTTTATTTATTTTATTTATATTAATTTGAACCTATCTACGTGACTTTACTTAAAGATCCAAAGAATATAACTACAGTATATTTTCATAAGAAAACACGCACAATGTTCAGCAATTCACCACTTTATAAAGTGAACGTTTAAAATTATACATCACGTAGACTTGCAAATTAAAACAATTACATGTCAAATATTCCTTCAATCACAGCATAATGTACAGGAGGAAAATGTTAGAGCTAAATAACTTCTAAATCGCAAAACAGGAAAAAAATGTCAATGCTAAGACGGCAAAATATATCCACTGTATTGGCACAACGTCTTTGGTTTTTATAAACAGCACTTTAAAACCACAAGTTAAATAGTATACATTGGCAATATAAAGAAAAACGTATGCAAAAAAAACATATTAGCTACAAATGCAGTACATAGTGTGATGTGTGCAGTCTTTCAAATAAAATGGTACAAGACATAAGAGCAGCAATTATTACAGCCAAGTGAGTACATGAGCAAATAACAGTCATTACTGACAATAAACTACACACTACTGTTTGCATTGCTTGTTGCAGTATAACCATGAAATCAACAGCCTGCACCAGGGACACAAAGAAAAGTGAATTTCGACGTCTGAATTTGGCTCCTGGTCAGGGCCGACATAGGGCTTACCGCACACAGTGCCTTCAAAAAAGCGCGTAAACATGTGCTTGTTTTCCCAATTACACTCACTGGGTTCCACACGAAGCCAACCGTGCTAATCGGAGGTACGGGGGAAGGACAACAGACTGAACGCGAAAAAAATTATGGGAACGGATTGGGTAGCCCTGATCATTTCTGAACACTGTACTCTACAGTAGTATTTCACCATCTCTATTCAATATGCCCCTGGTGTTTTAATAAACTTGGGATTTGAAATGTAATGAGTGCACGCTTGTCTACGTGTGTGCGCAGTGTAATCTCCATTATTAGATTTTGACAAATTGTGGCAGAAAACAAATGATCATTCCCATCGCATCATTTGCACGCAAGTGCTACGCTAAATTTCTCTCCAACGAGCCAAATGTGACATGTTTGGTTCTGCAGAGTGCACTCGTCAAAGTACGTCAAGACAATCAAGAAGAAATACAAGCAGATACTACAGAATATTCAATTATCACTTGTATAAATGCCTGATGGGAACACTCTGGACAACCCATATTAAGGCACATTTGGCTTAAAAGGTACACTGACATTCAATCCCTGGAATGGCATAAGTTGCCTACTTCAATTATACAGTACTTTTAATTAACCCTTTCAGAGACACAGCCTGTGTTATTTGTTACAGGACTAATCAGTAGTAAATGCAAATTACAAAAAAAACATTGTTTAACGTAAAAAAAGGTGTAGCTGAACATTATGTTCATTAATCAAAGAAGTGAGGCAATTTTTTTCTTGATCGTATTAACTTCTCACCAATACGTTAATTTCACACGATACTTCCATATTACTTGCATTGCTGAAATAAACCACTTCCACTTAAGTGCAATTCTCTATTGAACATCACTTTCAGTAAAACCTCTGAGATTATGAGGATTCCTTTTTCTCAGTTGCTGCTCTTCATCCTGGAGAGAAACAACAGAACACACACATTGAATGTAAGTTCCTGTTGAAGTACTCATCTCTCTAATGGTCAAATGCTTTAAAATTTTACAGCAGGAACTATATCATGCATCCCCTCTGAATGCGAACACTTAAAACCCAGTTCTTGGGACTGTCGCCAATTCAAGCATCTGATAGCTACCAACTATCAGCGAATACCAATTATATATTCCATGTAATCATTGATTGGTACATATGGATACTGCAGCAGCCGGAGAGGCCTTAACTGCAACGGTTTCAAAAGGCACCATCAAGCAACTTGTATTGCATCATATATTAAACAGTTGAATGTCAACAGACAGAAATTTTGCAAAAAATTTAAATATAAAATTTAGATCAAAACAAATGGCAATCGGCACTTCTTTAATCATATCTGAGCTCAGAACAGCTGTCGTACCGTTTCAAACATATCCTCGTGTTCAGCAAGGCAATCGTCAATCTCTGCAGCCAACAGCTGGTCCGCACACTCGTCCTCGTAGTCTGTCTGGTTGTCCGACTCATCCGCTGTCCAAAAAAACATTGAAAAAATTAAGTGCATTGGAATGAAACCGACTCTCACCCTAACTTGACAAATGAGCTGCATTGGTGTCGGCACATACCAAACAATCGCGCAATATCGCCAATCGCCAGGAGCCTGCCGAACTATTCCAAAGATTATTTGGCCCAAAAAAATATGAATTTATTTAAGTGGTACAGTTTTTGAATACTACATATCAATCCATTGAACATCATTCCTATAAGTGGTTTGTCCCACCTGGGGGAATTTCACTATTTGTCCATACATTGCAATTAGTGTGGATGCAACAATCGCAACATCAGAGACATGTTGTTCAGTTGTGAAACCCTGCAGCAAGCCACTTGAGTTAAAAAAAAAACTCAGCCCACACATCACAAACCAACAGATGGGAAATAAAGCATTATCATTCACCACCTGCTCTAAGGAAGCGTGCAGATACAATTGGCATAACCACATTCCAAATTACCCCTATACCAAGTAGCAAGCCTGTGTAATACTACCTTGAAGTGGGATGGCCTTATGTTATCAAGTTAAGTTTGGCTGATAGCATGAAAGGCATATTCTTGGATGATATTCTCTCTGGAAGGGACACCCGATAACCAATCCTCCAATCTATCTCAAGAATAAGCAGATCCAGGTGTCAAATATTCTGATTGATGGGTTGGATAACATTTGCCAGCATACTTCAGTATCATGCACGCTGTGAATTGGGCTTCAATACAGGTTTATTTCTGTATATGCTGGCATTGCATACCCACAAGACTTTGGTTACCAACCTGGTGGTGTTTTGTGCATGCATTTTTTTTACAAATAAGCTAAATATAAAATTCATTTTTTTATGTAAAATATAAATGAGCTTTAAGACACTGGTAGTGTTTAAATTAACATTAGTGCCTTAAAAATAATTACTTCACCTTCACTGAAACATATTTAAACCGATTGAGCAAGAAACACCACTACATTCAAAACATTCTGAGAAAATGGCACAACTACGAGCTACGTGTGAGAATTCAATTTTGTGCAATTTCAAATCCATTAAATAATTATTGAAAAAATAGGAGGGGGTAGATTGTGTCAGAAATGAGGCTCCAGTAGTTTCTCATATAGCCATTTTTCTCCACAAGACTAACCGCCTTCACAAGCACAATGCATGACATCTAAAATAACCACACAAGCTATGAACCACAGCAATGACTACACTAAGGCACCGCACACAGTTTCACTAAAAAAACACTGCAAAAGCAAATGAGCAGGTTAAAGAAGGCACGCATGCAAGCCAAGTACTTGAGGTTCAGGCAGAATGACTCAAGCCGATAGCTGTACCAGTAAGGGTTGCTTGGAAACTGAGGTAATCCTCATCCAGCCCCTCATCGCCTGCATCATAATCCCGTTCGTCTGAAGACAACACAGCTCTGTTTATCCACCAACTTCGTTGCAATCTTGCATTAGCTATTAGGACATGCTTAATTCTCAACGTGTGCCTAGCAAGAAGCACTGTTAAGTCCTCTGCTATTAAGGCCTTGTGACGGTGTTTCCTAATGCCGTTTTGCACCTCTGGTTCTGAAAACGTAGCGTTTAGTGCCACATTTGCATATGGCTAATTCTAGTTACACGAAGATTCCTCATTCATTCTATTATTGCGTGCAGCAATGTGTTCAGGAGCTAAATGCCAATGTTGAGGTCTGCTAGCCAAGATAGGGCTTCAGGATAAATTGTGTGCAGTTTTGATATTCGTCTGTTGAAGGAGCGCAGACCAGTGGGGTTTACTATGTGCTCCATAAGTTGAGTTGCATGGCCGCAATGGGCACTGTGGAAATGGTGCTCATTGCCCTGCTGACGTTCTGATGTGGTTGATGGTAAACGAGTGTCTTCGAGGAACGGCCAGAAGTTGCGATGTTTGGGTCTTGAATGAGGTGTTTTATTGGGAGGCAGTAGCCTTCTTGCGACCCACCTGTTACACGTGTTTTCACGATTCACACTTAAGAGGCATGCAAGTATAAGTACATGGCAGTATTGGAACACAATAACTGCACATCGCTTTCCAGAAGAAGAAAAAAACAATTTATTAGACTTTTTAAAGAGTGATAAGGTTTTACTCTGTTAATAAACATAATAAGCAACAAAATCATGAAGTAGATCAATTAAAAAATTGCAGTAGACACTCAATTTACTATACTGTTGTCGATTACCAGTATATACAGCTTAACATTTAGAAATCTACCTGCATACTTGTATATGCCTGAGACGGAATTCTCACCTTCCACGGAGGGCAAGACCTTAACTGGTTCAATTCTTGAAACAATTTCAGCAAGATCAGTGAATGAGGCATTTGGACATGTCAGCACCTGTGAAAATAATCCAAGCATATTGTGGATTTTTTAAAATGTATTTTATAACATATTATCATGTTTTTATGAAACAATAAAGCATTATTAATCAAAACACATTAGTGAAACAATGTTGTATTTGAACTTTTACATTTTGCTAATAATGATTGCTTACTGTGTAAACCAGTTAACCCACAGTCTAAAAGACAATACAAATTTGGTGTGCGGAAAATGTTTCTACATAAAAAGTGATGAGTTACAGAAGATGGATTTTTCGTCTTCCAGGGCACTCACATCAAGCTTCTTGCTCTTGCAGAAGTCCTCCGACTGTCCGTCTTTCAACAGGTTTTCAATGACATCGCCTCTTTCCCAGGCTTCAAACACCGTCTTGCCGTGCTGGTAGCCCATCTCCTGCAGTGTCGCAACGCCAGAGACAAACACAGAAGCAGGCAGTGAATAAAGAGTGTCACCGAGCCGCACATCTGCGCTACATATCACGTGACATGTTGTTAAATTGGAAAGGTGTTGCAACTTGTACTTTGCCATGTAACCTGCATTGTATTGAATTATAGATGTAGCAAAACCGTTTCTATTCTATATCCTCATATCGTAAGTTAAAACTGTGCGATGTAATCCACCGTTTGACGAAGGCCCTCTCCATGCCATGTTGGTCATGGGGGTTGTTTGACCATACTTCACTACACCGGTTAGTGCGGGTTGGTAAAAGGGAGCGGCCCAGGATTGGTTCAGATGTCGCTTGTTAACCAAGGTCAAGGCTGGAAATCGAACTCGGGTCTCTGTGTTCCTAGCGCAGTGCATGAACCACTGCACCGCCGCTAATCGAGTAACGGATTTTTTTTTACATCAAGGTGGTGTTTGAAGATCACAGTGAAGGCTGACAGCATATACTTCACAATGCATTGGAAGAAGAAAAAATAATATTAAAGAGATGCTGACAATCACCAATCACTGAAAAGACATTCGTAGCATTAAACACTTACGTAAATTTCGTCAAACTTTCCGAAGTCCAGGGTCTTGTAGCGATCGATTGGTGGGCGGATGTACTCGCAGTAGTCGCTGTTCTTCACAACCTCCAGTTGCCGCACGCAGCACACGTACGCAAGGCGCGATTGAATCTCTGCCATGTCCGGCACCTACAAATCAACCGCCACAAGGGCATGTCCACGTTAAGTTCTGCTTCAGGTGACAGGTGGCCGGTCAGTAGAACGTATAACGGCTCAATGCCCGGTTCACAATTCAGAAGCATCATCACAGCAATACATTTCGCTGCTCCTGACAGAATGATCTGGTTCAATCACCTCAATGTAAAATTATAGTTGTTGCCCTACACCTACATCAGCTATACAAAGAAGATCGTCAATGCTGAGCTGGCACTGTTGAGAATGTGGTTTCAAACACTTGAGATCAAATTGGGTTCTAAAATGGAGCAAATAGATGGCGTTAAGCCCAGCCACCAAATAAAAAAAAATACTTGTGTTTTATGCGTGCCTCGAGTTTTAATTAAAATGCCAATTAGAATTAATTCAGAAGTAGATGTCCGAAATAATCCTAGCCTGTTCTATGAGATAATGTGCTGGATTGCTTGAAAGTTTCGAATTGTGATTTATTCACATCAGTTATGATAGCAAAATTTACATTTTGGGAAAACTTTTGAGCGATGTACAGTGGTGATGGAGACATGCCACGAATCGCATTAAAACCAAAATTATCAGCACTTTGGTTTGGTGAATGCGAGGCAGCATTTCCTAAGTCTACTGTGAATATCGGTGGCGGGTAACATGCAATCCATGGAGCCAATCGTGATGGCCTGGTCTAAGTGTGTCTAGGGTGATGCGTGGGGCTATGATTCGTGCACAAGCACGATGTCAAGATTGCGGCCCACCGAGGTGGAGGGCCAATCATGTGGCCCACTAACCCGTCTAGGTTGACCATGTCGCACCTCCGATTAGCACGGTTGGCTACGCACGGTGCGAAAGAAGTTCAACACACACGTGGCTCACATCAAAGAGCAAAGGTATCTCCAAATACAAACTCTGCATGCCTTTAAGTCTTTGGGCAGACTAAATCCAGAATAACAGCTGCTCATGACATCAACCATGCCCTTGTAACATACCAAAACCTTACAAAAAGCATCCCTCACCTTGACCTTCTCAGCCCAGGGGTTGAATCTCTTCCAGAGCAACCACCAGCCTGACAGGCAGTCCCCGTAATTTGTGAGGTCTGTGTCATCTCTGCTGCCCACATCAATGGCTACGACAGTCTTGGCCCCCATTGACCGGGCCACGTCAGCTGTGGGGCAAACATGTACGATGAACACAGAGCACTCCCCAAGTCCTTACACGAGGAAGAATCGCTTTATTAAAAAAAATGCAAAGACAGGAAGAGCTCCCAGTGACAAGACTCCAGTAAGGCAGAATTCAGAATAAGCTGGAAAGGCTACCTAAAAATACGTAAAAAAAAAGAGAAAATAAACCAATAAGCTCCAATCAGGACACTATTTCTGCACTAATTAAGCTGTGATCGGAAGGTTACATAATGCAGCTCTATGCCAATGTGTGCCTGGCAATACTTTGAAATGTAAATATGCTGTTCCCAATACTTTGCAGTGAATACAATTTTATGCACGTGAACGACCATTTATTAAGCTATATTCCTATTTATGGTATGAAATTCAGTGAGCAGGTCATCCACGTACCCTGTTAAGTGAACTCTGATTTATAAAATGTATTTACATTCATTTTGGAACGAAATAAATTCTTCACGTCTGTTAGAAACTCTCTTGAGCATTCCAACAACCAGTGCACCTCAGCATTCCACCTCTGCTTCATGGTGATGGCAAGTGAATCAGATTAAGTCTATCATAGCGATTGCTTTAAGTGTTGATATTGTGCTGATTAAATCTGTTAGGCGTTAATTACGTGTGAATAAGTCATATACATTTAGTTATTATGTATTTAGTTTTTTGCAGTATAACGGACATCCCCCACTTTTCCAAAAATTATTTAAGGACCCTTTTACATACTTATCTATATATGTGTTAACTATCCACTGCTGGAAGGCCTCCACACGCCGATGCGATGCTACAATCCATCTCGCTCGAGCACATGAGCCGATATCTTTAACTCCATCCCTGCAGTGATCATCAAGAGTGATCATCCTGTTTGATGCGTTATCTCCATTGACTGCCTATCATTCACCAGTCTTGGCTATTGGCCATTATCCCTTCAAGCAACGTGTTCTACCCAAGAAGGCTTACTTTCCTTTATGGCTAATAAGTCTCTCATTTGTGTTTGTTCTCCGATCATGTTTTGCAATGTAAACTGATCATAGCAACAGCCTCATGCCCCTACATCGTCATCCATGATCAATCCACTGCTGAATGAAAGTCTTCCCGAATAGTCGCCATCTCTCACAGGCCTGCGAAATAGCAATCCTTCTGGCATCTGCGCAAAACTTGATTTCATTTGCTCCGTCTCTGCACTGGACGTATATTCGGGCAAACGTTACCTCCTTTGGCAACCATTGCTACTCCTGTTAGTCTTGACTATCGACCATTATCACTTCTAGCAATATGACCTGCCCAAGCAGGATAGAATAAATTAAATTTTTCAATCAAAACAATCTATCAATAATAGTATTTGATATCTATTATTTTTACTATCATCTCATTGCTATAATGTATGTGACCAATGACAGAAAATCTCAAAATAATAACAAAAGTATAACATGCATTATCCCATCCAGCAATGTGGCTTTCAAAACCCAGTCAACCATCACTCAGTGGGACGTCACTCGTTCTCCTCTGCTGCCCCTGTATGTCTGAAAATCCTTACCGTCAAGTCATCCGTGCTGTCACCTCCACATCGCTGTTGAAGTCCAGCCTCAAGACCTTCCTCTTTTCTCTGTCTATGATTGTCTGCTTCTATAAGATAAGAATACCCACTGTTCTTCCCAAAATAAATTACTGGCCAGCATTACCACACAGTGCATGTGGTTTGACGAAGATATATTTCTCGGACAGCCAGACAGTGATGCAATTTAGATTTCGCAGTGTGGTCACTCGCAAGGAAACAAGTTCTTACGTTCATTCCTTCTGACTGGTCACTCCCCTTTTGTGTCTCCGCAGGTTACCAAAAAAGGGACAGAGTTGCGATGGGCAATCGAGAAGAGACACTTTGTTCGTTCATCCTCCGTTACAAATGGCAACCTTGTTACCTGGCAAGTTGTTGATGTAGCCTCCATCCATGAGTAAATGGCCATCCTTGGGGTCACAGAGAGGAGGGAGGTACCCTGACAGAGACATGCTAGCTCGTGTGTATCGCCACAGTGAGCCTACGGGGGAAAACACCCAACCAGGAAGAGAAGCAGAGCGCTTCCTATATCATCGAGACGAACGTGGGCATCACTGCAGTAAAGTCTACACAGAGTGTGGACTGAAGCAGCAACATTTCATTGTCGATGACCTGCTTTTAGTTTGTTAATGCTGTACATATTTTCAACCTTTAATAAGTATTTTTGTTCCGATGCTGCTATTTTTACGTCCTCGTTCAGTGTAGACTTGACTGCATGATGCAAGTTTAGGCATCTTCTCCATCTCCTGTTATCGAATGAAAGCTTCATCGAAAAGAACCATTATTATCTGGTGTTCTTCAAACACCGGTGGAATTCCTCATGCATAAACCAGTTGCTTAGATCCATATTTTAAGAGACCAAAATCAATTTTTGGCCGGGATTTTTGCGAGAACATCTGAATTGCACTTAAGCAGATTCTCATCTGCAGAATACAATATTTTTAGAGGCATCTCATGTTGGCAGCATAAGAAAAACTATGACTGCAAACAAATCGGCCGCAGCAATATGCAACACGAAGCACGTGGGGATAAAGCTTTCTTCGGACACAGGGGAGAGAGAATGGCCACAACATCAGACCGAGTGACAAGCTGACCTGGGACATTGTTAACATAGCAGCCATCCACAAGTAAGTGTCCATCCCTAGGGTGACACAGCGGGGGCACATAAGGGGCGTAAGAGGAGCTAGCCCGGACGAAGCGCCACACGCTGCCTAGGTGGGGGGGAGGGGAGCGCGGATCAGCGCGAGACAGAGAGGCAAAAAAAAGGGCAAGGCATTAAAAGGACACGAACGATTTTTCTACGCGGCAACCAGGCAGTGTGCTTAAATCACACATTGTGCTTCAACCGCACAGGTTTTTCTTTAGTCAGCGAGAAATGAACACTTAATGAGGCAAGTAAATGCGACTTGGGTAGAATGTTTGAGTGACTTGATGAAAAATTATTGTCGGATTGAAGAAATATAATGGAAATATTTTGGGGCACCGGAAGCGATGTCGCATGTTATGATGAAACAAAAAAGTTAACTTAGGATCTAGATAAAGTGGGGGGGGGGGGGAATAAATCACATAATTATATCACGCAATCATAAGAAAGTAAAAAAAAGTAGCTCTAATACACAAAAATTTGATTTCAATAAATTGAAAAAGCAAAAGTCCAAATCACAGTGTAACAATAGCACATAAATCTGCTTTTTTTTTAGAAATCATGTTAAAATATTGATATCAGGTAAAAGAGCCAGTATCTGTTTGTTTTAAGAGCAGAACAGAGGTAGTTGAAAACGGATTGGTACTCTCCCTGTCTCCATGGACAATAATCACGAACATGTCACTGGTTTGTTTTGATTATCGTTGATAATAAAAACTTTTTTCTGGTTAGATCACGTAAATATAAATGTTCCAATACACCAAGAACAAGATCTAACCCAAAAAACCTGTATTATGAATATTGGTCACGAAAGCCTACGTGTTAAAATTTGATAATCGTTGCAATAGGGTAGGGTGCAGTCAATGTGTGAATAATTTAAAGTTTCATAATAGGGTTTTTTCCCTTTTTTCTGACAACAAAACTGAAACCTTTTTACAAGGATTCATGTCTGCATTAACCACAATACCTGCAGTCAAAATGCAAACAAAATACATACCATGATAATATATGCATTGTCCTTGAACTGATTGGTCCACACCAAGGGACGGCTTTCTTTGGTCCACACCAAGGGCCGGCTTTCATTATAGTATGTTTTTTGTTTGCATTTTGACTTCAGGTATTGTGGTTAATGTAGACATGAATCCTTGTAAAAAGGTTTCAGTTTTGTTGCCAGAAAAAGGGGAAAAACCCTATTATTACATTTTGGTACTGGCAAATGAGGTCTAATGATGTATAATTTAAAGTTATTGTTTCATAGAAATGTAACCCAAGGAAGATATTAAGTTGTCCATGGAAACTCGGGATTCATTAGTAAAAATCAATTCCCTTAGGACAATTCACAGATCACACAAGGTTAGATGCATAGAAGTTCAGATTTGTGTGTATTAATAGGCTAGAAGTGTTAGACATGCCACAACAATCAAACAATTTAAGCAACCCCTGCTACATTTTAAGTTTTGGAACGGCTTGTATAATAGATTCCAAATTATATACAGATTGTAATACTGTAGTATTATGGATGTACTAAGTGAACTATGTCCCAGGTGACAGCACTTAAGGTATATCTAAACATTTCAATAACAGTCATGATTGCATGTTAAGGACAAAAAAATATGACTTCATGTCTAGATCAGCCACAGAAAAACTGTTATAAATCGCTCAAATAATATATTTACTCTCTGGTTCTTTCGGTAAAGTCCACGTAGATAGAAAAAAGAATACAGGAGATGATGGACGCTTGTGTTGCGACTGAAACGTCGTGTTTCTTGTATTATTTTTTCTACCCACGTGACTTTACCGAAAGAACCAGACAGCATGGATTCCTGCAGTCACGAAAGCTTCAAATCAAGACTAATATTATATACATATTGTATACATTGCGATTCAACGGCGCAAATGTCAAATTTCATAACATTATAATCATTATACATAGGTTAGAGGTTTGTGTCATAACAGGATTAAACTACTCTGAGTTTGCAGATACACAAAGGACAATCCTCTATATCAGTGTAAATGTATATATAAGAAAAGTTGACGTATTTTAAGCCTCACTTAAAATGTATTCAAATGTTTAACCTAATTCAGCCAAATCTCAAAATGTTACTATGCAGCACTTTGTGATAAATGTTATTTAAACTGCATTTCGTTAAAAACATCATTTAATAAGTATAATTTTGACCATTAGTGCAACCATTCACTATTTCTCATAAGTAACCTATCTATTAAAAACACTGCAGAATCAGAAAATGTGTTTATAGTAGAGGAATCCAATGAGCTATAAAGCTCTTTTTCACTAATGTCCAGTCGGGACAGGTAAAAAGGTTACAACAACAAACAGTACAAAAACATTTCATGGCCATATGATGCACCGAACAGAAAATGTATATTTTTATATCTACGTTCTTTTTATAATTAAAGAATATATATACATAATTCTAAAATAGTTCGTACTTTGTTTTGTGCGTGATCAGCATATTTAGTCACTGTCACCGATGTTTCTCGTAAATGAAAGCCGACAGATGGCTTCTAAAAAATATAGGACATGGCTATCCAAATGACAAGCGGCAACACATCAATCTTGCAGTTTGGTGTACGATGTTGGGTGGCGGGGAGGCTGCAACTCTGCACGCCCATTTACACCGTATGCAACGGTATGGTTATCCATTGGCAAATGGTTGGAGAGCACTGCCAAGGGGGTGTACATTTCGTGACATGTGGAATTCAACAAGGAGTCACCAACCCACACGACTTGACAACTGACGTGGTAACAGTTGACAGCGAATAGGGCAAACTGAGCGGTCAGTGCTCAATGCATTCACATGGACTTCAAATAATTGGAAAAATGGTTCACAATGTAAACGTGACCATAATTTATAAATATATAGTATGCACAATGTATACATCAGTGTTAAATCCCTATGCTCTGTATACTTGGCCCTGTGTTAATGTGACAGAAGCACATTGCATTAGCTTTGAGATCAGCATAGACAATGTAGCTTTTTGACTGTGCTACTCGGTACATACAAATTCAGCCTTTGCAGTCACAGTGCATGAGAGGGGCACAGGAAAAACATTCTAAATAAAATCCGATGCTTCTCCATGGTGGATTCTACCCCTTCACAAGTCTAATTCCATTCCTGCAATGCTTTTCTTACAGACGTAAACATGAAAGCACTTGACCTGGAAATGCAAAACTTTAACACCCCAAATGAGTTTGTTAATAATTAGTAAACAATAACTTAAAAAACAAATTAAAATGCTAATTTTAAGGCGAGCAGTTACTGTTTCCATTTACCTTTAAAAGGTTGAAGTTTTTAATAAAGAACATATGATAATTAAGGTGACAAGAAGTTAGAACCTACCGTCGGTGTGCACCCTCATGGTAGAGGCAGTAATGTCAGTTGTAACATTAAAGTAGGGAATCCAAAGGTCCTGTCATAAAATGAGGAAATGTAATCAGAATTTACAAGCACAATCCAATACAGTGAAATATTTGTTTTGATGACATACATTACGATTGTACAACCTTGAAAGCACACTTTAATTGCGTGTATTTAACACTAACTTTCACAAAAGTTTTCATTACATTGGTTAAACGCTTACATGTTTGCTTAAATTTACACTCACCTCGATCTGCTTGTCCTTGAACACATTTCTAATGCTTTGGTTGAAAGCATGTCCTGACATCATGGAGGTGATCGGGTAAGTAAGATCCAGCACTTTTCTGAACACCGACTTCATTTCCTACATTACGCAATCAGAGAAAAGAACACAAGAACTAAGGACAGAGTGAAACAAAACCCACATGTGCACTACTGCAATACATTTAACCGCATAAAAAGAGAGTAACATTTGGTCCTGCAGCTTAATTACTTGTTGTACCAAATGCTTTCCAGCAGTATGTGTTCACAAGTTAGAAATAAGAACAATGCCGATTTTTTTTACCAGGCTTTTTTTTCAGGAGGTTCCTGCATTTTGATGTTTGACCAATAACATTAATGAGCTTTCTGGCTTTTGAAAGCAACAGGAAACACTCAACACTGCCATCTCCTGGTCGCTTTGCTAGGTTCCTGGTGGTTACCCATCCAAGTGCTAAAACAGGCTCAGCCTTGCTTAGTTTCTGAGATATGACCAGACTCAGTGCATTTATCATTTGGTCATACAAAAGATGTTCACCTGAAGGGCTGGAACAGCTAGAGCAATGGTGTAACCTTACCATGGCCCATTCTCTGGCACGAGTCCGCACCCGTCCCACATTCCTCTCCTCCGCGTAAAGTGCCCCGATGAAGGAGCCAATGGAGGTGCCTCCCACCATGTCAATGGGGATGCCCACCTCCTGCATGGCTTTAATGATCCCCACCTGGGAGCAGCCCCTACATTTTACACGGATGAACACATGCCCAAGGATGTCAAAAATGTCAAGGGTGTATATCCAAGCCCACACAGGTAGGCTGATCTGTTAAATTGATCAAATATGCTCTTCTCTTCTTGGGATGGAATAAAACCCCCAAATTATTGGGCCAGTAGTTATAAAGTAATACCAATTGGGCCACAGAGAATGTGGCTGTAAAGGGACTCAAGTTAGCAGTAATTCGACAAAAAAGTGTTCAATTATGAGTTTAACACCAATTCTGCCACTCTTAAATCCAACAATTAGGCACCAATTTAGTTATTCCCACAGAAGTGTACTCCCTTTATGCCGAAACACTCAGTAGGCAACCTAAGCAGTACCATGCAGTCCCATTTGTCACGTGCTATAAAAACAAGAGTTATGTTCAATAGTCGGCCATGATGTTGAGAATTTAAACCACACAGACAGTAATTCCCAACGCTAAGAAGTCAGAAACTCAAAAAAAATGTTGACAAAAGGTGAGCTCTCACCGGGCACCTCCACCACCCAACACCAGTGCTATGGTGTTTCCAGTGAGCACTCTGGCCAGACGTGAAAAGTCACTGTGTCTGTCAGGGATCTTCTCAAACAACCGCTGGTACATTTCTCTCTGTAACAGAAAAACAAAAAATGCAAGGAAAGAATTAAAGTAATTTTTACACAGTTAATATCAATTTGGATAGCATGTTAGAGATACAATTGTAGACATGTATAACGATCCGACCCTTTGCAATTTGATGAGTTGTCAAAACTCGGGGTTGGGATTCTATTCAAGAATCAAGTTTTTTCTTTCCATTGTAGTGAACGTAGGACTTGTAGTGAGTGAAGGGGTCAAAGGAACGCATTACCTACCACATGTATACGAATAAAAAAAATATTCTCACGTGTATTATTTGATGCATATATTGTGAGAATAACGATTTTAAAATATAAATCCACACATTGTTACATAGCCATTATATCTTGGGTACAACAGTTTTAAAGCCAAATGGCTTTTTGAAGCCTTCACCAGCAGAGGATAGCTCACTGCTGCTGATGATGACTGTGATGAAAGTGAAAGGAACAATTTCAAATGAAGGGATTGAAACGTTGTTACACAGCCGTTAAATATGACGTCACGAGTACACAATGAAAAGCCCATAACGGCACTACACCCACCAGCTTCGGGAGGCTGCGGCGAGAGAAGATTCTGCGGGGGCAGCGGATGTGCAAGTGCGCCGAGCACCAGCTGCGCATGTTGAGCCACTCGACGGTACGTGCTGGGGAGGGCCCATCCTCACGGTGCAGCAGCACGAGCTGCTTCAGCGCTCGCACGGCCGTGCTCTCCAGCATGCGCTCCAGCTGTGGGCGGATGGCAGTAACCACCATCGCGCACGCACGGACACAATGATGTTGGGAACCATTGGGTAATTTATCTTCGAGAGCTGGCATAAACTGAGGGTGTGGCACAGAGTCGGCCTCTCCATTTAGAATGTTGACATCACCACATCATGCACTCATTTTGAAGCAATGTTGATAATACAGAAGCTCATGCCAGGTAGGTAACATCTGTCGCTGATTTACAAAGCCAGAGAATCTGAGATAGACAGTTCACTAACCGCTATCCTTCCATTCTACACCACGCATGTATTTGTCTCATCTCTGTGCAATAAACGTTTAACACACAGCATTAAAATAAAATATATACCCTGGGCTCTTTGGTATTACTAAAACCACCATACAAAGTGGGACAATTCATCTCAGTGTCAACCATAATACAATCCTTAGGTACAGCAGGTGTGGGTTGGCTGTGGGTGCTCACGCTGCCAACAGTTGGCTCCTGGTCCCCGAGGCCCACAATGAGGATGCAGTCGGCTTGGCGCAGGCACCGCTGGGTCCACGGAGTCATGGTGATATCGGTCTGATACAGGACGATGCGGTGGATGTCCTCCTGCTGGCCCAGCCAGCTTGACAGTCGGTACTCGTGCAGACTAATTTAACAATGTGGCAAAACCAAAATTTACACAAAATGTTAGTCATTATTCAAGAAGGAACCTGCCCCCAAAAAAACTTATGCGGTGAATGTGACATCATGTTTTTTTCAGTTAAGATTTGAATAATTTAATTTACCTGTCAAGGGCAGCCAGCCCTAACCGCTCCTTGATGATGTCACTATTCAACAGCAGTGGAGGACCTGTGAACCACAAGGCAAAGGCATACACAATCTATTTTACGAAGTCTACTTCGTGTTGACGAGTGCAAAAAAAATATATGACCTCCTAGTGGGCATAAAGTGGAACAAAGAAACAAACGTCCACTCCTCCATCACCATTACATGTGTAGGGCCAGTACGGCTCCTCATGGCCATGGTTACTAATTGACGTGACGGGCACTGACAGGGTTGCGTAAGGATAGCACGGGACCCAAGTGGTCGTAAATAATCATTGAGACAGGGACAGACAGGTCCAGATGAGGTGAGAGAGTGTTCTGGTAAAGGGGCTTTGGCCGGGTCGAGGTGTAGACAAAAGCCGGCGTGGAACAGGGCTCTGGGCTGCTGTGGGGGAACCAAGAAACTGTCATCGAGCGTCATCTTCATCATCTTGGATCGAGTTAATATTGTCTCCGTGACTGATACGCCTCCACTCCTACGTAGTGAGTCAACTACATAGGGAGCGTCGCGTAGAGTCACAGAAGTTACCCAGCTGTATATAGTCAACTCGTGGTTACCCGTTAAATTATCAGTGAGTGGGCAGACTTTATTCATAATAAATATATACATAACTGAACAAGACCGTGTCTCTGAGAGCTACATTACATATGTGTAGCCCTGATGTCAATTTCCTGCTGAATGAAGGCCTCCTCATTCCAGGTCCATCATGGGGGACTGATCATACTTCACCAAATTGATTAATGTGGGTTTGTGAAAGCGGGGAACATAGACATGGGCATATATAGATACAGCACAACAATTTCCTTTGCTGCATTGCCCTCTGCTGCACACCAGGTAGAATCTACAGCTGCCTAAAAAAAAATGGCGTGCATGGTGGTCACCCAGACAAGCATTATCCAAGGCTGAAGCCTGCTTGATTTCCAAGATCTGACAAGATTAGCCTAATTCTGAGTGATATGGTCATAGGCATCATCGTTCCACGCGACAGAGTGAAGTGCAAAGCTTACCAACACCACAGAGGGCGTGCATGAGCTCCAGCGTGAAGGTGGTGATGGGGGCGTCGTCTGAGGCTGGTAGGATGGCCACAGTAGACAGGTTGCTCGCTGGATTTGCGACCATGTCCAGATTATTTGGCACTGTGGCAATGCCCAGCCCACCACCTGCATGAAAAACCAAGAAATGTCAACCATTTGTCATCGAACAAACGCACCTTTGCAAATATAAGACACTTATGAGTGAATTTAACTTCAACATCAAGTTTTGAATTTGATTACTTAGCCTTCCAAGTGTTAATGTAAAACATACTTTTTCAATAACCGACTCTCGATTCATACTGCACTGCTCACCTCCCAAAGGTCCTTTCCCTTGCTGAAGGTTTCCCAGAATCTTCTGTCCCAAAAGATGTATGAGCCGTGTCACCACCTGCCGATGCACATGACATACAGCTTGATGGCAAAACACTGACAAACACTACGCAATGTGCAGAGCCAGGACTAGCGCAGTGTACTAACGGCATCATCACTCCACCCCCCACGTGCACTTGCAAAAGATTTTAGCACGCATCGGGTAGCCATGAGCATTGTAGTGTGGTTCACCTGAGGGTATCGCCGTTTTATTGTATTGAGGGCCCCCTCTGGGAGCTTGGCCAGCTCTGAGTCACGGACGGCATGCACCGTGGTGGCCCGTGGTTGATACGTGAGGGCCTCCACCTGCCAAGGGATGGTCACAACACTGTCGGCTCCTCTTACACAGGATAACTCCCAAGTTCATGAGCAACATTATACTCGATGTTACGTGACAAATGAGTACACCTAAAAATATAACACACGGCAAGAAAAGGACGACGTAAAATGACGTGCAATTCATTTGTAACAATTTAAATTACCGCAGGTATAAACTAAGGAGAACTTGTGAATGCTCGATGATCATTAAGTGCAGCTCAAACCATCCTTAATGAAGAACATTGTGCCACGTACCACTCCGATAAGATCCCCACGGCCATACTCTCCCGCCAGCTCCTTCTTGCCGTTGTCGTTGCTGATAACCGACCGCAGTCGTCCACTGAGCACAATGTACGTGCTATCCGACTTGTCTCCTTGTCTGTAACGCATTGGTAGGGGGTTAATGTTACAAAGAAGCAATTAATTTTAAATATGGGCACCGTTTTAAATTTTTATCCTGAAGAAAGTTTTGATTTTCAATGGTGGCAAAGCACACGTAACAATACAAGCTAATTATCAAAACAGGTTTGCACTTGGGTCATGTATGGTGCAAAATATTGAAATACGAAAGTCTGTCATGTTTTTCCTACCTATTCCAGTAATTATATACTGATCACACTGACTTTGGAATTATATCAATAGTATGGCGAGGCACATGGGGTGTAATGCGTATCTGCCTACACTGTACATGTTTCTCCTACATATAAAAAAATACATATATACCCTGTAACTTGAAAAATGTCCCGCATGCTAAAGAGGTGCATGCGATAAAATGCACCGCAGGTGTGTTCAGCGCAACGGTGAAGATACATCTTTCAGTATTGCGAAGTGCGTGCCATTTGCTAAAAGAAAACATCGATAGCAAAAGAATTGCATAATCGGGAAAGATGGCACGTGGGCCAAGAGGCCGACTGCGAATGGGTCACAAGACTGACCTGTAAACAGCTCTCCCCGCTTCCACTGCCACCCAGTCGAGCGCAAAGTCGATTTGTCGCACAAATGCGGACATCCGTTTAACCACCGTGTGCGCCACGCTCAACACCACACTGGGCTCTTTTCTCATTATCCTGAAAGGCGAAACGCAGATGGCAACAATACTGTGGTTGGGAGGTTTTGCAACGGGGTTTCATTTTGATTTTAGAAAAAAATCCTGGACACAGGAATGGAAACAGCGATGTGTAGAGCCGAACTCGGCAATAATTCCAAATAGAAAATAAATGAATGGGTAAAGGTTTAGAAAAAGCATACAAGATCACAGTTCACCAGATTCTGCGCAATAGGTTGGTTAATGTAAAATATATCTAAAATGTATATTAAATGCAAAGAATATATTAAAATAATTGACTTAGCATATGATCTGCAATATGCTTTGTAATATACATGCAAAATATAGTAAACAAGAACACGTCATAGTACAATGTGTAAAATACGTAAAGGGTTTTACAATTTACTCGCGACAATACATTAGTGGTTTTTGATTTCCAGACTTTTTAGCTATCCGGACCAGCGCTCCCCCCTATTCATCCAGCTTGCTGGGGTTTTACTGTAAGTATATAAAGTGAAACTAATATATTGCTGTGCATTTGAAAACCAGACTTAATGACCAAACTTACCAGCATTTTAAGAGGGTAAAAACACGTTTCATATCTGACCATCATTGCAACATTGTAGCCCACAATTAAAAAATGTCATCAACGTAAACCAAGGGAAAGGTGCAGAACTGCACTTACTTGCTCACGCCACTGTTGGCAGAACGAGAGAGCTCTCGAGGGTATTTGGCCTATTATAGCACACCAGATAATACGTCTAGGAAGAGATGAGATTACCCACACTTTAAACGACCACGTGACCTTGCCAATCGACTGTACTGTACACTGTACATTCGATTGTACACTGTTGGAGGGCAGAGACGGGAGATCAGGCCAGTAACCTCTGAATTGTACTTGCATTGTGGTAAGCATTACACCACGGCAGCATCCCGAGAAAATATAGCAATTAGGGACAGCCAAAGCAGTGAACATCATCTCAAGCCTGCCAACACCACGGAGACATGTAACCTTACTCGTAGAAGTGGCCCTTGGAGATGCAGAGGAAGGTGCAGTCCTTGACAGCACGGATGGTAAAGATGAGAGGCTCGCCTGTGAGCACAGCCAGCTGTCCTACGATCTCTCCCGGGTGAGCCAGGAAGAGGAGCACCTCTTCCTCGCGGCCGATGAGCCGCTGGTACACGTGAAGTGAGCCCGAGATCACAAAGTGGATGCTCACATCCTGCACCACATGGGGGCGATGAGAACCCCACGTTCATGAGTTCATGGGAACCCTTTATCGCTCAAAGCAATGGGTTTATGCTTCCAAAAGCTGAAATGTGCTAATAAAACGTTGGCACTATGTACACTCAGTTTAATCACTTAAGATGCTGTTGTAACAAAAGTTAGCTTTATTGTGGTAAAGACAATAAAATAAAACAGCAAGCACACTGCTATAATGACACCAATGAGAGTACCAACTTATGGAATTTTAGAGTAATGAATGTCCTTATGTCACTGTGTCACATCCATGCACAGCTTCCTGGTCAAGCCGCACCTGATCTCCTTGCCGGGCCACCATCGCACCAGCCTTCACATTGTGCAAGGTTACCCGACCATTGAGCAGTGAGGGATCCTGTAGAAAAACATATTAAGCTAAACATTATTTCGAGGCTCTTTAAACCTGAGGACACATCCATACACCTGAGGATACCTTTACACATTGTACATAACAATAAAAATTGCTGCTTCACCATGGTACGTGCCAGGCTAGGTGCACAGCAAGGACATGTGAAGTGGCAAAGATTCTCTGGTAGGCCATAGAACACCCAGTGGCTCGGGTGACTGGCACATGCTGTACTCTGCCAACTGTGTTTAGCCACCTGACACCTTGTTCATTTTTGTGTTTATAGTTCCTTAACAAAGATCATATTTCACAGCCTTATTCCACAGCAGCCAATCTTGACACAACTGGTACCAGTTGTCATAAAGTCCATATATCTCCAGATCCTCCTGTACAACATTGCCGCATATGTTGCATATCATGCACGATGTCCATTTAGGGTCGACATGGCCAAACAATAGCTGAATGGACATACAGTGGCCAGGCATGTGGACTGTATGTCCAAACCAACACACCTGCTTGAGGAACTCACTGAATGGAATTTTGTCTAGGTCTCTCAAGTATCTGTGACATCCATACACAATCGAACTCATACAAGTGTAGACTATTCTGAATGTAATAATAGGGTTTTTCCCCTTTTTTCTGGCAACAAAACTGAAACCTTTTTACAAGGATTCATGTCTGCATTAACCATGTTTCAAAGTAACCAATTATAATGTTTTTACATATACACAAACAACGACAAACGTAACATGAACAACCGAACAACCATGGCCATCCACTTGTACCTGGGAGCAACATCACCACAGCGCTTGTGCCAGACTAGGTACAAGGAAAAGTACATATACACACCTGCAATTTGACGAGAGTTAGCAAATCTCTCTTGGCTGCTTCCAGCTTGCTGTCCATCTTGTCTCGGTCTCCCCAGCCACAGACATTATGGCCCTCAATTTTGCCCTCATGCGGACTCATATCGAAATCAAAATCGTCGCCCTCCATGCATGCCGGGTAATGATGAACTATGGAGGGCAGCTCCATCACGGTCACCCGCTTCTCCTTGACTCCATCCTTTGGCACTGCAATCTGCTGAGCCAAAATAAAGACAATGATACATTTTCTTGCTGTGGTTTTCACACCTGATGATGATTGCTTGTATTGCAGTCGAAACGTCGTGAGAATTTTATTGTTTTATATTTTTATTATTTTATTGTTTCCCTTCTACGTGACTTTACTGAAAGAACCAAGAATATGAATCCCTGCAGTCATGAAAGCTTTAAATCAAAATGATAAGTCTATCACCACTTCCTGAAAATCTTGTGTGTGTACAAAATGAAACATGTCTATTTACAATTCTAGATCAGAGGATGTCAAAAAACATGCGTTCTTAGATATATTGGTGTACATTTGAAAACCTTCAGATTTAGGTCCTTTTAATCCTCAAAAAAAAAGAATACGAAGATGAATATTATTCAGGGACGACTACAAATATCTGACTATCAGAACTCATGTTTGTACCTTTTCAGGCTGTGAGGGGACCACCTCCTCTGGAGATATACCAATGCGTGCTCTTTGAAATGCCATGTCCAGGTCTGTTGGTGATGCTTTGGATGGGCCTAAACCAAAAAAACATGACATGGGCACTCAACAAACCAGTAAATAAGCATGCTGTATGGCAACTCAGTTCTCCATTATAACTATGCTTTTGATAAAGACGTAATTACATTGTCCAGAAATTATAATTAAAAAATCGGCAAGAAGAGATGTGAGAATTCTTGACAAATTTTGTTATAACATTTCCTACAAGGGACACTATGAACTGCAACTAGGGCAAGAGATGAAATGTTGAAGCATGTACAATTAAGACAACTTAGTTACATTTTTTTAAAAATTTCACGTCTCTGTTTCCAGTGCTGCATTATTGAGCAACAATTGCTAGCTCAAGATCAAGACCATTATCATGAAAACATCATGGGGTGGACTAAAAGCCCATAGAGCCATGCAGCATTTACTTACAAGCGGAAGGACTGGAGGGATTGTGATCTGTGCCTGTTGTGACAGAGAAATGATATAACAGCAAGCATAAAAGTGCAACATGCACCAAAAGGCCAGCTTAAAGCATTCAATATGCTTTAATGCTACCGCAGCAGCACCACAGCAACGTTTTATAAATATAATTTCTGAAAGTGAAACATCGGTAAAGGATTTTTTTTTAAAATGAGGGTATGTATGAAGCAAATGCAATTTAAGTTTGTGCCTTCGGTTAATAAAAAAGCCACCATTGAATTGTTAATGACCCAAAGCAAACATGCAGTACTGCCAAAGAGACAGGAAAAATGTACTTATTGAAAATATTTGTGGGCAAACAAGAAACAACAGTCACAGCACAATAAATTCCATTCCAATAAAAACATGTCTTGACATTGGCTCTGAGCTTTCATTTGTTCATATTGTTGCGTACATCCGTTGATTCGCAGCCACTGCTTATAACACATCCAAATGCATTCTTACTTACTTGTGATATCCACAGGCATGGAAATGGAACGACTTAAGTTTAAGCGACTATTGCGCTCTTGAGCAGCATTTTTTGCACCCTCTGAGCCTGCAGTACAAAATGAAACATGTACTTCGTAAATAATCACAGTATAGTGCAGTATTGTATTTATACAAGCAATTGTCAGAGTTGTCTGCGCAGTATATCTAAACGTGTTGTGTACAGGTTATACTTTAATTTTTTTGTACACTGTAGAGCTTCTAAATGAAATTGTATTAACCAACCCGAATACCCTGAAAAATAAGTATTGGTGCAATGGTTTGTGGTAAAACTTTAACCAAATCTTACAATGGGAATTGCATTACCTTAAAACAAAGTTGAGTTTGGGGAAGAAATATACTGGAGGATATCACCACACACCGGTGGTTTTCACAATGATTGAAGCAAGTGGGTGTGCCAACTGCTTAACATCAAGTATCAAGGGCCTGAAACATGCAGAAATTACCCGACTATATCTACATATTGCATGTCTTAGCATGGTGAAGGTTAAGTCACGTAACCCATGTTACCTGCACAAAATGGAGGGGGAACCTCATCCAACAATGGTCAAAAGTAATTGTAATATGAACTGTACATGTACGTGAACTGTCGACAAACCTCTCTGTGAATGCGCGCAAGTGTCCATCCACCAAAAATTAATGTACATTTCCCATTGTGCGTTGTACAACCAAGCTGAAAATGCCTCTTAGAATGACATGGACTCACCAGCTGGTGTGGGCTGGGGCTCGGAAGACTTGTTGGGCTGTTCGGATACTGTCCCCAGCGAGGTGACAGAGCCACGCTTGCCATACCTCACCGGACTGGCCTTCGGAGACAGGCTGCCCAGGTTAGACAGCGGGATGGCTTGACTCTCCTTAACAGTCAGGCAAGTGAAGTATTTGATGTGTTACCAGCGTGAAACTTCAGACAGGAAGTTACTTCAGAACAGAGCGTTGCAATCTCAACATAGCGGTTTTAAGATACCAGCCATTTACAGTTTGCAATAGTGAAAGCAAATAGAAATGTCTGCCAGTTCTACAAGCAATGATATATGCAAGCAGGAGCTATGACCACCGTCTTACACTCTATGAGAGTGTATAATCATTAACTCAACAAGATGCGTCTGGTGATTTTTACACCACAAACCAATCCATGCTCTCCACAATTATGTTGGGATTACCAGCACACCTTTTCGCTTTGTAAAACCCTGGAGTTGACTTTGACTATGAGCTCCCGTACCCTTCCCACATATCTCAACTCTGCAGGACCTCAATCCTCCGTCTGTGCAACATCTCCCACAATCATCATTTCCTTACCCAGGCTGATGCTAAGACTCTCCCCAGATGCCTTTAACACATCTGGACTTAACTATTGCAACCTTAAATTTTGATTTAAAGCTTTCGTGACTGCAGGGATTCATATTCTTGGTTCTTTCGGTAAAGTCACATAGAAGGGAAACAATAAAATAATATAAAATAATATAAATATGTTATTTTATTGCTTCCCTTCTATGTGACTTTACCGAAAGAACCGAGAATATTGCAAACCTTCTCTTCTATAACCTCCCCAAATCGCTCATCTCCAAATGCCAGATGATGTAAAATTCCACTGCCAGACTGCTCATATGCACCCATAAACAAAACTACATCACACCAATAATCCCAACCTCTCTATTAGCTCCCAATGCAATCCCGGAAAATGTTCATGATCGTATTCGCTTGTCTTCCAAGATCCTCCATTGACTCGCAGCTACCGACCTCTGACCATAACTTACTGCCTCCAGCTCTTTATAAACTACAGAGGCCCATTGATTCTGTACAACATCTTAAAAGGATGTCGCATTACATACTTGATAAATCCATAATTTTATTGCATAGTGTTTTTTTTAAGTAATTGGGAATGGTCAGAAAGGTATGAAAATAACAGGTGGCTGCCATGCAGAGGACAACAAATTCACATTTAATTCCGGATGGACTGTATAAAATCTATATGATTGACAATATAGATTTCATAATCGATGCAAAAATATTGGCAAATATACAATTGCAACCCGGTGGTAGCTCATTACCTATATAGATGGATAATACTCCATGAGGTTATTGTACTTTAACTATACTAACCAGAATAAGATCAAAATGTGAAATTAATGAAGAATGTGGTGGCTTACGAGACATATGACTCAATCACGTGTTCTGGTGCAATCATGGTTTTTTTTTTCCACGAACTACCTAAGTAACCTGGGCCTATGCCTGTAAAACTAGGAAATGTGGTCATCCCAGCGATGCAATACACATGAAAAAGCAGAGTGACAGTGCCGTGTGATTGCAAGTCATGGCTTGCAAAAGCAACGAACGTCTCGGCAGCTGCGGAAAGTGCGCCAGTTACTCGCAATGAAAATAAAACTCATAGCAATACAATAAAGCAGGTGTACATTAAGTACTGCGTTAATGGAATCATAATGCATGCTTTGCATAGCATGACATTTTCGTTTTGCTATGAAAAGAAAACATTCGTACCTTTTTTGGCATCTTTTTACATTCCTTTTTGTATTATGAACGACATGTGGAAAAATTCGACAAGGTTAATACGTTAGAAAACAAGGACATTAATGTGTAATACCTCAAGTCGCGAAAGAGAATCGAATATTGATTTAAAGCTTTCGTGACTGCAGTAATTCATATTCTTAGCTCTTTCGGTAAAGTCACGTTGAAGGGAACCAATAAAATAATAAAATATATATAATATATAACGTGACACTTTTTTGCTGATTGGCCGTGTCGGGTGGTGGAGGGTTACGACACATTTATAAATAAACGCGATCTAACCCAAAAACCGTTATTATGAATAAAACAATAAATTTCTCACGTTTCGACCATAACACAAACGGTCATCATCAGGTCTGAAAACCAACGGCAAGAAACATTTGAAAGAAGTGGCGGTTCGTATTTATTTATTTACGGTGTTTGTAATTTAAAAAAATACCAACCGCCACTTCTTTCAAATGTTTCTTGCCGTTGGTTTTCACACCTGATGATGACCGTTTGTGTTATGGTCGAAACGTCGTGAGAATTTTATTGTTTTATATATATTATTATTTTATTGGTTCCCTAAAACGTGACTTTACCGAAAGAGCTAAGAATAAGAATCGAATTTGCCTATTTTGCAATTGAAAAAAATGACATCAACATTTCACATCTACGCAAATTTAAATGAGTGCAAATGAGTTTAAATCGGAGCGTCCCACATCTCTGCACCAGCAGTTACCCTTATACAAACAATTGTGTAATGCGCGCTTTTATGTGTTTACCCAAACTTTGCGAAACACAAGTCATGCTTTACTCAACGGCCTTTAAATAAGTACTCACTGCACTGAAGAGCTCGTTCGTGAGCCCTAAGTAGTTGTGAAGAGCCAGGAAAGTCACTCGTTGTAAGCGCACCATAATAATCTGTAAACACCACACCAACTACATTAATATTTCTTGTTAAGCGTAGGAGAGCAAAACTAATCATATAAAGTCACAAGGTCAGCCCAGTCGAGAACACTTTATGGTAAATTATATACTATATAAAATTGTACAGCTCTGTCAATCCACTGCTTTCCCACGCCACATTCATCATGGGGATTGCTTGACCATACTTCACCACTCTGATTAATACAGGTGAGTGAAGAGGGACACTAAGGACGAGTTTAAATGTAATTCGCCACCGATGTTATCCATAACTGGGAATCAAACTCGGGTGGACAGGTTCATCATGCAGTGCACTTACCACTATACCATTATGGATGGAAAGAAAAATGGTTTAATGTCTTTACATCAGTCAAGCATGTCAATAAACAATAAAGTGTGTGCGGCAATGATGAGCCGTGCTTGAATTTACTTCACATCATCAATAAAGAATCAGGGACAAGGGACCAATACTTTCATGCACAATAAAAGAAAAGTGCTAGCAAGTGGAACAACACCAAGTGTAAACATGAACAAAACATTCTTTGTATAGCCAAAGAACTGTTCATTATCAGCATGTATTAAATGGAGTGCTCGCCTGCACAACTCGGACGAGGGTCTCTGGGTACTTCTGGAAGACGGACTGGAAGGCTTCTGCCGGAAGACGAAGAACCGTTGAGTTAACAGCTGCCCGGGCGGACACTGTCTTGTAAGGTGCTGGGTAACCCTGCAACACACAAGATGGCATCAGTGCAACATTCTTCCTCCTGGTTTAAAGAAAAGTAAAGTATAATAATGTGCGTCGCTTGAATCTGGTTCTGCTACAAATACTGTGACACAAGAAGCCAAGCAAGACATTTTTATCAGATGATTACAAAACTCCACAACCACAAAGGTGGTATTGAGGTATGCAGATCACATCTGAAAATATTCAACTACCTATCTGATGTGCCAAAAGTTAATCCAAGGGTCACAATCAACTCTGTTTTTATATAGTAAAGCTATGCCGTTTACAACTTAGTATGCGAGTTAGTCAAGTGAAATTTTATTTTTGTTTACATAGGTGGTGCCTTTCTGGTACACAATCTGACACTCTCTGTGGCCTAATTAACTAAACACTTGCTTTATCTTCACCAAATCAAACTTCTATTTCGCTGCGGGCACAGTTGTGGACGTACATAACCTACTGCAGAGTACGTACTGTGATTACGTCCAGAATGCTGAGCAGACTGTGCACGCTGTCCCCTGGGTGTACCTCCTTGACCACAGCCTCTGTTCCATCCTAGCCAAGGCCAAAACAAAAATCAAACACAAAATTATCACAAACATATTTACATTCATCTGTTTTTTTTGTTTGCAATACAAAGAGACATTACAAGCAACGCTGTTCTGGCTTCAATGTCCAGTACACAAAAACACATTGGTGTGGAAAGAAAAAACAAAGCTGTTGACCAGAGAGGCTATGTAAAAAATATGACATCACATAACAAAACTTTTTTTTAAAGCGCATGTAAAGGAAAATATGTGATAAATGTAGAGCCAGATTGCCTGAATTTGCACTCCATTGCTCTGGTAATGTCTTCAAGTTGTGCAACAAAATTCTAAACTTGCGCATCACAGTGCAGAGCAACCACTGTATACCTGCCCGATTCCAAATGGTGATCAGGCAATAGTCAAATCCACAAAAACACACAGAACACAAAGCCACTGCCTTAATTAAACATGAACTACTAATAAAAAAGATGCACCACAAAAGAGACAAACGCTTTGATTACAATTTCATCTTCAACACGAGTTTTAAGCTGTGTTAACGTACAATGGTTCACACATTGTACCTTAACACAACTAACATCAGCGGTAATACCTGAATCAGTTTTGGGCCCTCTCGTTGCACTGACAAGTGTGAATTACAGTAAAAGAACCATCACGGCATGGGTAGGCCTTCATCCAGCAGCAGATTAACAAAGGACGGTGTATTGTTTATGATAAAAATATCCACATAGGTCATCCACGTCACCATAGTGTGCTCAAGTAGCATCATTGCAACAACAGACTAGGCATGTGTATATATATAAAACAAAAGACAAATTAGTTTTTTGGGTTGCAAGTTCCTTTCAGGTGGTTCGTTTTCAGCTACAGGTGCCTTTTATACAGGTAACAAGCTGAGATTAGGAGCACTCCCTTTGAGTGTGCTCCTAATCTCAGCTCGTTACCTGTATAAAAGACACCTGGGAGCCAGAAATCTTTCGGATTGAGAGGGGGTCAAATACTTATTTCCCTCATTAAAATGCAAATCAATTTATAACATTTTTGACATGCGTTTTTCTGGATTTTTTTGTTGTTATTCTGTCTCTCACTGTTCAAATAAACCTACCATTTAAATTATAGACTGATAATTTCTTTGTCAGTGGGCAAACGTACAAAATCAGCAGGGGATCAAATACTTTTTTTCCCTCACTGCATATGTGTCCTCAATGTAAAAGGCACATCCAATGCAACTTGCCCACACACTCACACTCTCGGTGATGCACACTTCCAACAGGCCATCCTGCAGTACGTATATGGAGTCATCCGGCTGCCCTGGCCGGAAGATGTGCTCTCCTTCATGGAACTTCACAAACACCATGTGCTTGCACAGCTCCAAGAAAAGGGGCTTCTCAAAGTGACCAAGCACCCTTCATTGGCAAAATTACAAGAGCATTAACACACAAATGATATTTCACAAATTGCTGAATTTAGGGTATTATAATCATCAACATTCTCATATACTGCACGTATAAATACTAGGGATGCTAAGATTATTTGATTCATTTATTATAATCAACTCTTATCCTCATTATACATGCTTTGAATCTTGTTTCAAATGTTTAACCCACAACATATTGTATAGTCATGCTTGTTCGTGTAAACTGTCTAGACTGCATTGTTTAAGCACTTCTTTACTGAGCGATTCTCTTATTATCTCAAACATCCCTTTATTCTGGTACCTCAAAATATTCCACATGCAGCACAAGTACAACAAAGCAATCTATTCTTAAATTAACCCGTGATGCCAAAGCTTGACAATTCATCAAATCATCATAGCAATAAACCACCAACTGTAGAATAAATGGTGTGCACTCCACGTTAAGGAGCATAAACCATCACGCAAACTCCGGTTATCCTCACAGCGGCAAAGACGGTCATTGCATTGTTCACTTTCAGATGCGGTTCTGCAGCCAGATGGAACGCTCTTCCTTCCGACATTAGGAAGCCACTGGAGCTATCCACTTTTAAAATATGGTAATTTCTTTAGAACTGATTTTTGTGTTTAGTTTTCTGTCCTTTCCTGGGGCCGACGATTAGCACGGTTGGCTACGTACAAAAGAAGTTCAAGATATATACGTACACACACATACATACCGTACGTTCTTCAGCATGTAGAGGACCTCGGAGGGCAGCCTTGAGTCAGATACCTCGTACTCACTCAGGTCAGCCTCTAGCAAAGCTGGCGGTGGTTCCTTCGGCTGTAGCGTTGGCAGCTCCTTTTTAAAGCGCAATATTCTGCAAATAGACCAGAAGTTGAATATCTCATCGAAAGAACCAAGAGATATCTCGTGATATCAACAGCCTTTCATTAAACGTATAATTATTTGTGGAAAGAACAATATTTTAATTAAAAATAAAACTTGTGTATGATTTTTTTTATTTTCCATGGCTCAACAATAACCAAGTATTTTACAACTTCTTATTTTCACGATCATTCAGGCCAAAGTGCATACTGTACAGTAAATAAAAGAACTATGACACCTACAACTTAGGTAAACACATGATAATAAAAAAACCGTGTAAGCAATATACTGTGATTACAGTGCAGTGAAATTTCATGGCATCATTGCTGGAATCAGTATTCGGCAAAAGCTGGCAATAATTTAAATTTTAGCACGAGCATAAAGGTTGATTTGGCATTTGCAGCACCAAATCAGTTACTGATAGGGATTTCCTCTGGAGACCACCAGACTGCAGAAAGAGCATCTTTTCTGGCCAGCTTCCCATCCCCTCCATACACACGAAGAGAGAGGAGTCGACCATACCCCGCTTGGCGATCCAAGTACACATGCGGAAATATCCCCAAGCTATACACATATCTACAGCTGCCAGAGGCATGAACGTAAGCGCTTGCATATAAAATAACTATTCACTAACCTCACCAGTCGTGGAGGGGAAACTCTTCACAACCTATTATCAGGCCAGTGCCGTGCTGCTGAACCTGGGGGGTCTTGGCAGGAGCCTTGTGGACGCTGCCATAGACTAATCAAATTATTTTTCATGCAACTACAAACATTTTATATTTTTGTCTGGCCTGGTAGCAGCTACATTAGTACCTGATAGGTCTCCCCTAACATAGCAATACAAAAAAGTGGAAACAGCACCCCTTTAATAGAAGTTGAAAAGCCCACTGCCTGACAAAAAAGCTGCATCAGCAGAGACTAGGATGTTGAGTCTGTAATGGTAGATTAATAAAAGTAGCATATGCTAAGGTGGTTCCCCCAATAATTTATTCCAAGGTGACCTTTTTTAGCGCTGGCCCAGAATGTCAGCACCACCCTCGTGGAGTGCACGGTAACGAAGAAGGAGAGCTGTTTATCAGCATACTCATGACACAGGGTGATTCAAGACTGTTATAAAATTGCCAAATTAAACTGCAAGCCGCCTCCCCATTTCACTTGGGGAAAGGGGGGCAGGGAGTTGTTCTGAATGGGAGAGCCTTGCGAGCTGATCTAGAACCAGGGGAAGATCCAACAGGGCATCCAAATTCAATCGCGGAGGCCACTGCGACGGCTGCGTGGCCCTCGACAGACATACCAGGATGCGATTGGTGTCTGAAGAGAGTAGCCTCCACTCACGGTAGCCCGGACTGACTAGTCAAAGAGACTGACATCCCATATACTTGCAAATAGCATGAGATATCCCCCTGAAGGGATCTTGGGAAACAGGAGTAGGTGGGAGGGGGTAAACTGTACCATCAGCACTTGGGAGTCAGTGGGGGTGAAAGTTCCCTCTGTTAATAATCTTTTTTCCCAGAACTGTCATGGAGATTGGGCGGCCCCTCAAGTCTTGGCCCCTTCTAGCCTCAAGGGGTGGATATACCCCTGAGTGGCACGAAGTGGAAAGCACAGCAACTTACGGGAGGACTCTTTCAGACAAATCCTTAGTTAACAGCAAGATGCCAATAGATGACAAAACAATCTGTGCACCACATAGAAGGAAATTCCATTGATGGTGCAGGTACTTATAGTCCGTGTTGCCGTTAACTCATATAGCCAGGGCACAAGATTCTAGATTGCTTTGTTCCTTTTTTATACTTCTTCTATTGCAGGTAGACTATGATGGATGCTGGAAATCAGCAGATAAAGTCGCGGGTCTCGCACAGCTCGCAAAAAAGCTCCGCAATGGACACAGCAAGCTCTGTGAAAACTCCAACAGCAAAAGCCGCACGCGAGTAATAGCTAGCACCACCGCAGAGGACAAGGCCCATGAGACTGGGGGCACGGGGGCACCTTTGGGAACCAGACTCCGACTGAGGCCTGCACACACTCCCCCATGAACCAACAAGCCGAGGTACAGTGCCACTTTCTGCTGCACCACACGTGACCTCCCCTGAGGCAGCCGTATGATGTAAAGATGGCTATATTTTTGTCGGGCAAAAAGCATGGCGGGCAGGAGTTTATCATGTGGCCCACCTCCAAGCAGTCCAGACAAACCGCATACTTGTCCAACTGTTAAAACAAGTTATCTCTGAAGTTCAAAATAAGGGGAGGTAGAGGAAAAACCTACACGAGCATGCAAAAAAAAAAACATGGGTTGTGGTCAAGCCCTAACCTCTCTTCACAGGTATATGAAGGGGTAGGGAAGTGAGATTATAAGAATAAACTGTCTCTGCAGCCTGATGGTATTCATACCTACCAGTACATGAGGGTGCTGCCAGGCTATAAAAAAAAAAACTTGGATTTACATGGCCACTATTTGACACCGCTATGTTTACATTCAGTGGCACATATCTTGCATTTATTTCCATTCCAACAGCTTGTATTACTGGAGATTTTACTGCATAATAGCAGACCTAGCAGTACACGTGTGCGGCCATCATTGCTATTAGTTGGAGCTGCCAGCAAAATGTCTCCAATGCCTTAACACACAAAGGACAAGGTATACAGGACAGGCCATCAGTGTTTAATAAATAACTTGTAATGTTTAAAATGACCAGGGGAAGTAATGCAAATCAACAAAGGTTCGTGACACTTAGGTAACAATAAACCAACTTTATACACTTGGGAGTAATATAGACTGTGGCAGGATCTGTAGGAATAAAAGTGAATGTATATAACCTCAAATTGCCAACACACACACCAGTCAAATCTATTCACAATTTGAAAAAAGTTACATAAATAACTGAAAATAACACTAAATTTTGATTTAAAGCTTTCGTGACTGCAGGGATTCATATTCTTGGTTCTTTCGGTAAAGTCACGTAGAAGGGAAACAATAAAATAATACAAATATAAAACAATAAAATTATCACGACGTTTCGACTGCAACACAAGCAATCATCATCAGGTGTGAAAACCACAGCAAGAAAGTTAGAAAAAAATAACCACCACGTTTTTTCAAATTTTCTTGCTGTGGTTTTCACACCTGATGATGATTACTTGTGTTGCAGTCGAAACGTCGTGAGAATTGTACTGTTTTATATTTTTATTATTTTATTGTTTCCCTTCTACGTGGCTTTACCAAAAGAACCAAGAATATGAAAAGAACACGTTTCAAGATGTCAAGGACTGTACACGACCAAAGGCCAAATAACATTAAATTCCTTTCAACGTAACTGATTTGAACAGTGCACTTGGCACATCTACAGTATGTTACATAAGCTACATACCATCTCCCTAACATCAAACGTGTGCACTATCAAAAGTAATATCAATGCTGCATACCAGGTAATCGTTTCATTGGAAATATATAAATATTTTTTACAAATAGTCTGATCATTTAAACACTTTATGAAACCCTCCATTTGTGAGAGCTTGGATGACTAGAGCAGTTTGAATAAAAAAATAAGGCCTTAACAAAAAGAAATGTAATAATACTATCAGTAAATTTGCAAATATAAAACACGTATGCTTTTGCAGCTGCTTGTAATGTGAGTTTGCTTTTCACGTTGGCCTGCACGTTGACTATTTCTCTCCTCTCGAAATTTCACTTCCCACGGCTGCGGGCCTCTTCAGAAGTTGAATTAGTCATTTACCTCTTTTATAAATGAAATAAACTGCTACACTGAGTTTGGATAAAGAGAGCGACAAACTACAGATCAGGAGATGAGCAGGTAGATACGCTCTCACTCATGCTATTCAATGCAACTTTAGTCGATGTTTCCCAAAAAAATCTTACGGGAGAAATGAAGGCATAAACATAGATGTTAAAAAGTATTAGCTGTCTCTGATTTTCTGATATCGTAAGACATTATAAATGACCGACAGGAAGTTGCCAAAATAGGCTGAAAAGTTCGTCTCAATATAAGCATGGGCAAAAAACAAAAGTCATGTTCAACAAAGTTTGACTAAACAAAGAAAAGGTATTGCTCTAGGACAGCAACTTGAAAATACAACACCCATGGCAATTATTGAAACATATTTGGATAGAGAATTATTAACTGAGGCAACAAGCAGCAGAATGGAATGCTTATGAATACTGAATTTGACCATTAAAAAGCAACATACCCAAGTCTCTGAAGAAAAAAGTCTTGAATGAATGAGTGCATGTTACCCATTATGACATTCTTATCAGAATAAAAAAAACGGACTTATACTAAGACATGGATACCAACAAAGAAAATGCAACTAAAATGGGGACATACGCAAAGAAGCATAGAGAGATGCCCGCTTTGAATTACACTGAGAGACATTCTGAACATGTGGTTCAGGGAACAAATCGGAGACAAAAATGCAAATCAGACATCATATTCAAGAAAGCAAATGGGCTTGGGCAAGGCGCATTACTGAAGAACGATGGCCAATGGACAAGACTTGTAATGGAATGGCAGTCAAAGGAAATAATGTGCAATTGAGACACTGAAAAATTGAGAAATGAAATAAGCAATGAGGAGGACGGTGGCATCGTGGGACCATGTGGGGTGGCGACAGTGTGATGACATTGGCAGCAGTGGCTAGTGGTTGACAATGTCAGGATATATATCTGCTGACAATTTGCGAGAGCTGGTGCCTGAAGTAAAATAAAAAGTATTGCACTTGAAAGGATAGGAGGGGGTATAAAAAGATGAAAATAATAATAAAGATCACATTTGCAAGTACGAAATTGTCTTGGAATGCTGAAGACCCCTAACAAAAAGACATAAAATTCAACTTATCAAACGACATGATTGCATCTGCATCTCCTAAACAGGTTTGATTGGTTTTACTTTCCCCGAGTTTACAGTGTACAAAAAACAAAATATCCATGTATATACTAAGTTGAGCGTATGTGACTATCAGAATGACTGCACACTATGTGTGCCACAACACACACACTCATTGCAAATTCGTGGGTGTGTATTACAACTGATTTCCAAAGCAACGGATGTGTATATTGCGTCTATTATAGCACTTATAAATTACTCAGAACCCACCACCCACAACACCTGAGTGACACTTATCATAATACTTATCACAATAGTTTGCTAGCATTCCCCCACACCTCCGATGAACACGGTTGGCTACTTTTGATGCGAAAGAGGTTCAACATACATACAATACAGCCCACTGCATATCTGCTAGTCTTGCATGCTGACTTTGTTAAATAGGTTACTGTACCATTACACTCTCCAAGTAAAATTGCTTGAGTAATTAACATTCGGCCATACAATGTGTGAAAATGTTTTCATCCTTCATGTATAGTGCTTAAAAATGGTAATTACAGCAGTTCTGATATAATTACCTTTTCATTCCACTTGGCAGGCAAACACCATTAAAACACAAATACAGGTAAGAAATATAACATCATGCACCATTTCAAATAATATATAAACCTTATTCAAAAACTTCCATACCAAACATTTTTCAAGCAATTCTTTTTTTTTGTTCAGACAATGGAAGCTTCAGCTCATTACCATTTTCTACAATTCCTAAAATGCAATCAATCAACTGAACATCTGATCACCAAATCGCAATGCACATATGCCATGTGTCGTCGTCACTTTAAATCTGTTTAATTCAAAACCTATCAGAGGCAAAAGATGGTAGTTGTAGTGAGACTCACTTTTTCGCCAAATTGAGGACCTTCTGTCTTTTTCTGAGACGACTCCTCTGTGTGCTTGTCGTAGCATTCTCCACCAGTGCGGAGGTTGACTGAGACATCTAAGATTGGCATATTAGGAAGCAGTGTGTTACACGTGCATGATCTAGGGACGCTGACGCACATGAACAGAGCTTACAGAAACTATGATCGTATTTATAACACATTAATGTCCTTGATTATGATTAACGTATGAACAAGCAATAAAATGCGTTAATGGGGTTTTCAAAACGTCTTACCTTCCTCATGATCTTGCGCCCATAAAACATGACTTTGTCTCTCTTGCGAAATCTATACCTTGGAACATCTTGCCTTTGAAGGTCTATAAAAATAACAAATTATTGCTGTTAGCATTTTAATATAATACCTCTTGTAGAGCTGTTATTGTTAATTAGGGCGTTTTTCAAATGAAACTTAAATCAAACAACCAGAATGTTGCCTGATATTTCACAATCACCAAATTTGAAAAAGGAGTCAGTGGGCAGTTATATATATGGAAGTGTCTACAATAACAGAGCACTTTCATGTTCAACTGATAATTATAATTATTGAGAGATTTTGGGATCATTATGTATTTCCCAGAAATTAATCATTATATTCGAAGAAAGTTTGCTGGCTGGATTCATGCCTGGCTGCCTGGCGCACAGCCAATAGCACGGGTGTGATGATGACATCAACATTTCTGCGTTGATGCCGTCAACTGTTACCCACATCCCGCGTTGAGCAAGGATCCTGCGTGCTGACTTCACCCACCCCCTCTTTCCACCCTGGCCGTGTATCCCACACAAATGCGATGATACAGATAGAGGGAGATATATGAAGAGAATGAGAGGAGAGGTACAGGGAAAACGTGAAAGTGTGAAACGGAGAGCAAAGTCAGAGAGCAGAACGGAAAGAGGTGAGCAAGGGAAAGCAACAACCAGTGTGGGAGGATTAGGGAGAGGCAAGAGAGCTTGAGATGGGAAAGAGAGAGGTGGGAATAAGGAGCACAAGAGTGAGAGGTGAGAGCAGTGGGCGCTGGAGGAGGCCGTGTGCTCGGTGGCAGATGACGCAGAGCTCTGCATGCAGATATAAGCTACCCGTCAGAGGCCGTTTGACTGCGAGAAGAGCTGCGTGCAGATGCAGCACTTGTCGTAGTTAAGAGAGAGAGTGAGAGAAGGAGAGCAAGAGACAGCGAGAGGGAGAGCGAGAGAGTGAGCGAGAGAGAGAGCAAGAGAGTGAGCGAGAGAGAGCGACATGGAGTAGGAAGAGAGGGGGTACAGAGAGATGGGGGGTCAGAGAGGGAGGTAGAGAGAGAAGGAAGGGGTAAGGAGAGCAGAGCGAAAAATCTTTTGTTAAATCTTTCATTTAAAAAGGGGGGGGGTTACGTAAAGCAACGCATTGAAAAAAATACGAAATGATGAACGAAGCAAAGTGCCAAATACACCGAGCATCTTCTTGTTTCCTCTGATCGTAAAAAAAATGAAAAAAATGAAAAAAAGAGAGAAACAGAGAGAAACAGGGGGGAGAGAAGTGGGTGAGATACAGTGGAAGGGGAGGAATATCGAGGGCGAGGTAGTAGATGAGGAGACAGATGAATAGAGAAACAGAGACAATGATATACAGTGCAGAGAAGGCAAGAGAAAAGTGGAGAGAGAAAGGTGGAGAGAGAAAGGTGGAGAGAGAAAGGTGGAGAGACAGGGCTCTATAATGTTTTCCTGGCTGGCTGGCAGGGATGGACAGATGGTTACGTCAAAAGGATTTGCGAGTTGCTAGTTGGTATAAAGATCAAGATTACAATTTCATGAATTACTATACAGTGATTCATAACACAATACGTAATTCCAACAACAGTCTTCTTTATTCCACCATGAAAGGGCAATTAAATACCAGCCTCCAGCGTCAAATTGAATCTATATCTTGCAGTATACCGAGTGATCAGCAAAATATCTTAAAACTAATTCCCTAAAATGTGTTTCTGAGCCAATGTGTCTGCCAATGCACACAAATAAACACTAAAATGCATCTGTAAATAAACTAGTGTCCCCCCTAAATGATTCCTTTCAAAATATAACAATCCAATATAACAAATCTAGATACTCACATCTCTGCTTGAGTTTTTTGTAGACAAAGAAAATGACCACAGCAATTACGAGCAAAGCCACTGCAGCACCAATAAGGATACCATACACCTGAAACATAAGATTAAGAAAAGTTAAATGGTAAACGGGATGCAAACATATCAGAATATTTAAATCAGAATGTGTAATTATACTGGAGAAATCCGATGAGCTATGACGCTCGTTTTAACAGATATAACTGTAATTAGATAAATGCTGTAGTATGTCACCAGGAAATGTCCCATGTTTCAGTTCAAAGTAAGCCTGCAAACTAATGTAATTTTAATTCGTAGATGCTGAGCTTATATTATACATATTTCTGTATATTTAATTGTAGATTAAATCTCATTTCAAGATACTGTACACGAAACCAGCCCTTTCAATACACTGTAAATGAAACCATCCCCTTCAAAATACTGTACATGAAACCAGCCAATGTTATTTGTGACAAAGGTGTTCTTTCCAGAAAGGATGTGGTAACATGACAGTTGAATGACGCAACAGTCAAGCAAACACCTTTTAACCAATCCTGTTTCATATAACAGAAACCAAAGCATTACACAATACAGTAAATGCTTAAAATGAAGGAGTGTGCACTACTGCTTACCATAGTGATCTGTAATTGTTCTTCCATAAACATGAGAATTCGCAATGTGGTGGCTGGGCTGTTGACAGTGAGGTCTTGCTGTGAAAGAGGTTGATAAACATATTTTAAGTTTCCTTATATTATCCATTTGAAAAGTATAAAATAACAACATGTAACTTGTCCATTGATTCTTCCTTATTGCATCTTCAGAACCCTTCTACTGAGCCTTCAAACTTATACTGTCCACCACTTTCAATGGCCTTGCACCACTGAACCCATTTTTTCTGATGTCCTTCTTCTGCCCTTGGTACACCCTTGCCCTTTGTAATGTAAAAATTGCTGGTTTTATGTTGGAGTGGAAGTGAAAACATGAGGCTTTGAAGTCTGCTTGCATATACAGAAAACCCGCATAAAATCTTACCAATCAGAACCAGCATATAATCAATTCCATTCTACCCTGATAAAAGGTGCAAATAACCTATCATTAATAACACTGCCAATTACCTCTTTAAAAAAACGAGCAAATTCATTAACACAATCTGTTGATCAATCATTATAACTCAAACAATTTGTAGCAATGTTCCTCCTTAAGAGGATCGCGTGAATATAAATGTGTCGTTAAACCCGCCACCACCTGACACATCGGTGTGCTGTACTAGTAACAAATTGGCATGTTCTGTTTTTTTCTCTTTACGTGACAAACCTTACTAATTGGCTGTGTCGGGTGGTGGCGGGTTTAACACCACATTTATATTTATGAAATCTGACCCAAATAAAACCCTGTATTATGGATATTGGTCGCAAAAGCCTATGTGTTAAACTGAGCATTGTTCCTGTGAAAAAATGCAACACTACTTCTTGTAGCTCTACTGCCTCACCACCACTTACTTCCACTTGACATCTCCTAACATGACACCCACAAATGTCTTGACACATCTGAAAATTAGTCCAATCCCTAATGTCCTTTTATCCTAGATGTAACATTTACCAAAAATATTTTTAAATGCTGTTACATTTTAGTGCTCTACAAATTAAAATGCATAACAGGTATTTTTTAGGTTAGATCACGTAAATATAAATGTGTCGTTAAACCCGACACCACCCAACATAGCCAATTAGTAAGGTCACGTAAAGTAAGGTTTGTCACACATTTACAATCTGTATATTTACACAATCTGTAAATGTTGTGGATTTGTTCTCCAATACACCGGTGTGCTGTACTAATAACGAATTGGCATGTTCTGTTTACGTGAGAAACCTTACTAATTGACTGTCTGGTGATGGCGGGTTTAACAACACATTTATATTTACCCGATCTAACCCAAAAATAACCTGTATAATGGATATTGATCGCGAAAGCCTATGTGTTATACTAAATCAAAATGCTTTCGTATTGTCTGTGGTTTAAAAAGAAAATACCTGTGAGAAAATGTTGAATGCATTTGCTGCACTGGTTAGCTCGTCCAGAACCATTGTGGCAGGAAATGGTGATCTGTGTGTTGTAAAAAAGAGTAAAAGATAGATTTTAGCTGGTGTTCACAGTTTAGTCAAGCAGCCTATGATAACCCATGTATAACGCAAATACAATGTATACACGAATGATGGTGATTAGAAATGCTAAACTTTTGATATTGCACAAAACATGCTTGTTTTATAATTTAAATGTTCTAATGACTCAGGGTACAATATATACAATTTGTTTTGTAGTAGACTTTTAACCCTTTATGGAGAATTTGATGCTAACGGTTAAATATCCTTGCTTTGAAGGTCAATGAGAAACAATTATCTTGGGCCAAAGAATAAGAGAATCATACCAACACAGGGCCACATTACGACGAGCTAAAGGTCAATCGTGTCAAGATTGTTTAATACCTATACTGCCTTGTGCTTGAAGGCAAATATCTCAAACATACATTGTACATTTGTATCACTTCTATTACTTGCATCTATAATCAAACTAAACAATGTTTACCTTACACTTCTCTCATCTCACCTCAAGCCCACCATACACAGTAACGCACTCAGGTGCCCAAGTTGTCACAACGTAGCGACCAATCATAAGACTCACGAAGCATATCCACGGACCATTTCTATCTCAAGAACCATAAACGAGATTTCCTCAAACCTCTGCTTCAGCCTGTATACAATATCACACTCTCAAGCAAAACAAGAATCACGTGAGGCCACAGTGGGCTCAGGTTTCCTGCAAGCTGGTGGAGACGCTTTTTAGAAAACGGGGGTGGGCGGAGGTCATGAATGAAATCGATATAAGTGCAAGCTTAACGGTATGCCACTGTGTCCAGTTGAGTCGTGACCCCAATGTGACCTGCCTATAACAGTTGCGGGATTCCTATTTTTTTACATAGCAGGTAAAGTCATGACCTCAGAATAAGCAAAGCTAGCGGTGTTTATTTGCAATGAGTGATAGCGATTAAACGACTGTGATCAATTATAAAAATGCAGTTGAGTTAAAACTACCGTTTGAAGTGAAAATGTAAGCCTATATTGTGGTCCATTAAGGATATCCTGTATTTTGGTGGGTAAACTGGTCTAGAATTGTTACAGTAATCGTACTGTTATGGAAACAGACGAGATATTGTCAATGGATCAAACTTACAGATGAATTGGAGTCTAAGAATGTGTTAATTTAGTCTAATATATTATTATTATGACCACCCATGACCCCTAGTCTTGGCTTGTCAACAAAAAATATAATTTCTACCTTTTGGCATGTATTTATTGGCACAGGTGGACCTGCCATGATATTGTGCCGACCCACAGCAGTATCCGTTTTCAGATACAGCATTCCCGTGTCAAGCACCACAGCTTCCACAGTCTTAAGACGGGAACCAGTACATCCCAGAGTAACCCCCCCCCCCCCCACTGCTCTCCTTAAAAACCAAGTGGAACCGTCTCACCAAGCGGTGCTCAATTTAGCGAGACCTTGGGAGGAAAACAAAATTACAATCACCACGGACACACATTGAACAATCTCACGTCGTGTGTGTGAGGTGTGGCACTGTTAATATCTTACCGGCGTGGTATAAGTGGAGAGTCAGTATAAACGATCCCGCCGCAATGCTTTCTCAACGCGACGTTGATCTGCTGCGCTTAAATAGTCCACGGCTAACCAAGTCACTGCCAAAACGCACGCGGCGCACGGCCCCTTCGGAGGAGGAAGGTGGTGAGCGAACGAACCGAACCACCGCCCCAAAAACAACCTCGCGACAACGGCATCAACAATCGCCGAACGTTGACACGGAGCCGTGTGAGTTACATCATAGAGAGAGACGCGGGAGAGGACAATAAAAGTGGAGAATTGCGCGAAAGCCTCGGCGTTTTTCGGGTGAAAATCGACAAGCGCTCGACCATTCGCTCTTACCTCAGAGGGCCCTCTCCGCCTTCTGCCTGTCAACAGCAGCGCGCCTCTCATTGGTCCCCGCCCAACTCCCGCCCCCCGCTGACGTCACCCGCCAAGGGGCGGCACGCTCGACCAATCGCGAGGGCGGTATTGACCATGGCGGTGGTGATCGTGGTTGGGGGGGGGGGGTGTGTGGCGTATCGATTCCGATTGCAGCTAATCGGTGTTCGTGCTATTAACATCGTCCGTTGCGGACGTGTCGATTCATCGTCGATTCGCAAATGCAGTGCAGGACGAATGGATTCGATCGGGTCGATTAGTACGGTAGAATTAGGAAGTGAATCGTATTTTGTATTTTCCGTTTCTTGAGGCTCATCGGTGGATCGCAGTTCGGGAACAGCGCTGTGATTCATATTCTTAGTTTTTTCGGTAAAGTCACGTTGAAGAGAAAACAACAAAATAACAAAATATATATAAAACAATAAAAATTCTCACGACGTTTCGACCATAACTCAAACGGGTCTGTTTCACCACAACAAAAATGGCATTGAGGTCAATCAAGGTGGCCCTTCGGAATCATTAATATGTATTTATACTGGAGGAATCCGATGAGCTATAAAGCTCTTTTTCATAGACGTCCAGTTGGGGCGGGTAAGGACGTTACAACAATAAACAATACGATTTGCGTGCAAAGTAGAGTGAAAGTTAAACAAATTTATAGAAATAAAGCCAATAGCTTTACCTTACCCAGGTAATAGCTTTACCTTACCCAGGTAAGGTAAAGCTATTAGCTTTTTTGTTTCACAAACCTGGCCACAAATGATAGCTCAACAAAGTGGCTTATCACGTAGAAATGTCAACCAGCCAAATGCTCTACACGCGTATTTTTAAATGTGGAGGGAACACTCAAAGGACCCGGAGAGAAATCCACGCAACCACGGGGAGAGAGCGAGAGACACCGCAAACTCCAAAGGGGCCGTCCATAAATGACGTCACGCACCTAGGGGGGGGGGGGGGTCAGACTCTTGTGACGATGTGTGACAAGGGGGGGGGGGGAGATTGAGAAATGTGACGTCACATAAAAATGCGCAACTTTAAACAAATATAGACAACACGTTCTACTTAATTAAATAGACGTTTCAAACATTCCTGCGGAGGGAGCTGGTAGGAACGTTGGGTTGCTCGGTCAATGGCCAGGGTCAACGGCGGCACCACGTGGTGTATTCCGCAAATATGCCCGACTGTGAGGGCGGGCACAAGCCGGCGTGAGTAGGTTAAACGTTGAGTTGTATAAGGGCACCACGGGGTGACCAGCCCCTCCCCACCCAGCCCCACCCCTCCCACGCCCCACCCAGCCCCACCCCTCCCGCCCTCCCCACCCAGCCCCGCCCTCCCCACCCAGCCCCGCCCTCCCCACCCAGCCCCGCCCTCCCCACCCTCCCCACCCTCCCCACCCAGACCCTCCCCACCCTCCCCTCCTCACCCAGCCCCACCCCTCCCATTTTTGGATGCACGACGGACACAATAATCCCGTGGGCTGGTGTAACCAGGAGGTTCCTACCAGTATAAATACGCACTACAATGACAATAGTTTAAAGCGATTTGAAGCATGTTTGATTTGTGGGGGGGGGGGGGGGCAGAGCTTTGTGACGTCATATTTGAGGGGGGGGTCTGACTTTTTGTGACGTCGTGTGACGAAGGGGAGGGGGGTCAAAAATCGTCCAAAATAGCGTGACGTCATTCATGGACGGCCCAAAATATACAGCAGTCGTCTGGGTAAGGATCGAACCCACGCATACCAGGCGAGGTAGTTAACATCTCGCCACGGTGGCTCATGTCACAACCTACTGCTGAATGAGAGCCTCCCCCCACGCCTAGCGAGTCGTGCGGGCTTGTGTGATCATAACCCCACCACGCTGATCAGTAAGCCAGTAGCTGCAGGCGGAGAACATAGCAGCACAGTACAAGGGATATGGAATGTTCTGCACTGCCCTCTGCTGCCAGGCGTTAACATTCCATTCGTAATTATTGAATGCGTGACGATTGGAAGTGATTCATATCCTGACTAATTTGTTTAAAGTTATGTAAAACTCTATTGAAGTGGTTCTGAAGTCACTGCTGACATATGGTTCTCAGTCGTTAAATGTGTTAATAAATGCATAGGTTTGATGAAACAAAGTAGTTGTACTCACGTCCCTGTGCTTAATTTCTGTTTTCTAAAACAAATCTGGCCATTTCTCGCACCCCCCAGAAAGGGCATCTTGCACCCCAGGTTAAGAACCACTCGTCTATTGCATTGTATCCGGTAAAGATTGCCGCTGTGCTATGCTTCACAGTATTTCAGGGAAGAACCCTGCTTGGATTTTGTCCAAAGAAAATCCACGCACACTTACGGGTAACACTCAAACTCCACTGCTATACTATACATACCTGTCAGAAACCTACTTCTGTACATCCTGACACATCCTACCCCGAATATGGGATTCACTCAAGATGCCCAGAATAAACACCTCAATCGAGACCCAAAAATCGCACCTTCCTGGTTTTGAAATTCCTCATCGAAGATACTAGTGAGAACCATCAACCGCATCTGAACATCAACAGGCCGATGCGCACATCTTCATAATTGGGAAGTGAAGGGCAAGTCACATCAGTGTGATTGTAGCCATGTAAACACAAACTAGGGAACATGTGGTAGACCACTGTTCTGCGCTTCCAACGAAGGAAAAGCTAAACTACACGAACTATCTCACCTGAAGCCCTCTCATTGTGGTCAGCGGACCTCGACATTGGCATTAAGCTCTTGAACATAGAGACATTAGCAAGAATATAAACTCCGGATCGCAGAACTATCTATATGAGAAACGTACCATCCAACTGTTAATTTCTCTAAATTGCGAATTTTTTTATGTAAACTGTCCATCTTTGTACACTTTATTCCTTTTCTAATTGTCTAGTAGGCTACATTTATATTTTAAAGTAAAGCGTGAAATGTTGTGCTCTCAACATATTTCAGTTTGTGAAAAAATATGTACATTTCTAAACTAAACTTTTTTTATTATACCAGGTAAGGCCTGTTGAGCTATATAGCACTTTTTTTAGAAGCGACCATGCCACAAATGATCACTCAACGAAATTCCTCATCATGCAGATATTTATAGCAGCTCGGAGTGCAGGGTACAGCAAATAATTGTGGATCCTAAAATAGTGACATACGGTGCAAATGTGCCCCCCAAAATAAATGTATGTTAAACTTCTTTCGCACCGTACGTAGCAAACCGTGCTAATCATGCAGTTAAATACCGTCGTGTGGATAGCTTTAATATTGCAGAAATGAAGCTTCTGTCGGTTCCCTGACGTGATGAAAGTCATTGCAAACATTTACGCATAGAGTACTTTAACCAATGAAAACATATTCTTGGTTCTTTCGGTAAAGTCACGTTGAAGGGAAACAATAAAATAGTTTTATATATATTTTATTATTTTGTTTCCCTTCAACGTGACTTTACCGAAAGAACCAAGAATATGAATCAATGAAAACATTTTTACCCGCGAATATATTTCGATATATTTCAAAGGGTTAATGCTTGTTAAGTTCATAAATATCATGTTTCCAGATAATCAGTATCCAAAATATATTAAAGTACTTTATATCAACAAATCTGTATTTAGGATCTTTGAGCAATTTGATCAGAAACATGGAAAGCACAGGTGCACAAACATTAACTTGTGACAAAAAAACAATATAATTACAAACTCCTCTTCAACTTCTGCTCTGAAGCATTTTGGAAACCGATGGATTGCAAAAGCCTGTGCAGTAGTCTTAATGTTGTAAAGATAACACAAATAAAAAGCTGCTTACTTTAAATAGTCATCTCAGATTTTCATTTTCATGCTAAATTAATTTTAAGCTGCCGTGGTGTACTCGTTAGAACACTAGACTTACAATCCAAAGGTTTCAGGTTCAACTCCATGCCCAAGCGCATCAATAAGAAAACATTTCGTAATTCCCCAGTTTCTATCCACCCAGCAGTATAATTTGCAGGTCACGTATGGTGAATGGGGGAGGCCCACCTCTGGTCAAATGTAATAGATCAAATATCCTAATTTTCTCTGCTGCAAGCCCTTCGGTCAACGGTGGCATAAGCATTTGGAGGGCCACAACTTAGCATTCCTTGACGGTATATTTAATAGAATGTGAAATTGGAATACTTAAAACGCAGGATGACTGACAAAGGTTTCAAGAGTGGTATTTGAATTTATCCTTACACTTCCCGATGAGGCTGCCACCTTATTCAAAGTGGTCTCTTTTACAGACACTTTTTCCAGCGTTCCTCTAACTTCTGGAAACGCATCTGTTAGTCCTTTCATGATGCTCTGTAGCCTGTAATGTTGCTTTAATTATAAAAAAATATTATTGCAAACTCAAACATCTTTCCGTTCAGAGCAATTTTTAGTTTTGGAACTGAAAAGCCACATGGGACAAGATGGTGATTGGGGGGGGGGGGGGGTGTACTGGAACGACATTGCTTGGCTAACTAACAATTCTCAGAAAGCGTGGCGTGTGCCTGCCATGATGCTGCAATATCAATGTTTTTTTTGGGCGTCAACTCTATCTCATAGACAGTCAGAAGGTCTCCTTCGCTAACCATTGGGAGAAATGCATGGTGACAAGTGCTTTATGATTAAACAGGTCAGCATATTCACAGGTTTGGCCTCGGTCAATTTAGTGTTTTACACTGGCAGCTTTTATGTTTCGTGACTGGGATCATGTATACACTTCTATTCCATTGTGTTATGATATTATCAAAAAAAAATTGATAATTCTCAGCATCTGCATCGAAATCCTGGCATACACTGGCATATTGATCATTTTCTTCTGCTGTGCAGGCCTGCCACACACCAGTATGAGCTGATGTGATCTCTCCATTACTTGTAGACCCTACCATTGCAATCGGAGTAAAAAGTGTTAGGTCAATCCTCAGGATATTCCAATATGAAAACTATTCTTGGAACTTTAATAATCAAACCTTGTACAGCATTTTCCCTGGACTGTTCAGCAACATGAATATCACAGCGACCCTTTCCAATGCCACAAAGACAAATAAAAAACATTTCATAAATCAAGTTTATTTAGATATCAAAAGTTTAATTCTAGCTAAAAAAGTGTGTAAAACTGGTGAACAAAGAAGGGAAATAAAGTCTGTTTGTCTAACAGCATGTCCAAATTATAGATATGCTAACATTCTTTGGTCAAATGAAGACAAAGGTATTTACAGAGAAATATATACAGCGATATACAATGTGTACATATTAGCGATTAGTTTCGGATTACAGTTTTTTGGATTTCAAAGCACAAATTCGAATGTCCTTGGAAACTCAAATAAATTATAGCAGGGCCACGGACCGGTACCGGTCCGCGGCCTGTTAGGAACCGAGCCGCACAGGAGGTGAGAGCGGTGAGTCCGCGCGTGGCCCGCCCCCATTATTTATTTACCACTTCCGTCCGCGCCTCTTTCCCGCACAGCGCACTTGTCTCAGTCAGTTTTGGTAAGCCCACAAGCCAACCCTAGTAGCCAAAATTAGTAAAAAAAACAAACGTCACCGGAGAGCTTCTTTGAAAAGGGGGAAAGACCCAATGATGAACCCCCCCCCCCCCGTCCATGAAAAAATTGTCTTTCACGAAACCAGTCCCTGGTGCCAAAAAGGTTGTGGACCGCTGAATTATAGTATGTACCAAATTAATGTCTTTGTCCTATTGATAGTGACATCAATCAATGCCACTTTACATCACCATTAGTATAAAAAAAAATCACAAAAGTCATGTACCTTTGTCAGATCCAAAATTTTGCATCTCGGCTCAATTTTCTGATTTTCATAATGTGAAAATCAGCAACAAATCACAAGTACTGAATTTTATAATACTTTTTAAATGGGGAATTCGTGATACAATGAGTCAAACAAAATGCTGGGAACAAGTGACATAGCGTGATTTAAAACTCCTGCACAACACCATCAACCAACCCGTTCATTAAATTACACATTTTATTGAATCCTGATATATATTACGGACATCTAAATATATAGGCTTTGTAAGTAATTTAGCCTTTAACTCACACACGTTTTGTTGCAAAAAAACAAGCCGTATACATCCAAATTCCAGTGCCTTATGCTAAAAACTCCATGAGCAAAACTACATTTATATAAAAAAGTTGCCAATGTGAAGCCAATTAACATTACAAGACCCACACGACAGATTGGCTTTTAGTCAGTAAACTTGACGTCACAATTCTAGTATTGTCCAGTAAGAAAAATGGCATTTCATGAAAAAACGTAAAAGAACCAATAAAGAGACAGCACAATTGTTGCTGCATCTAATAAGATGTCTTCTTTCAGCAGATCAGAGCACAATCTGAGCACAGATGTGGGCTGCCGTTATATTGCATATATTCACACCTCATCACTTTTGTCCTCCTTTGGCAGCGGAGGACCACCCTCTTCAGCTGGCCTCGGCAAATGGTCTGGCTCACAACCGACCGGCCACACCTTAAAAATGCTCATGTAGCTACCGATGCCTGTCGTGGTACTCGGAGGCGACTTTTTCCCACAGCTATCCGTTGAAGCAGCATTAAGAGCAACATTCTTAGGCTGATAAATCATTCCAAACTCATCAGATTCCACTGGTTTTCTAATTTCAGGAGATGTTCTAAGATTCATTTTTTGAAATTCTCTCAAAGGAACAGATTGACTTGACAAAGAATGAGGCATACAGTCATTGTTGGGGCCAGAAGGACCAATTGATGAGCTGGGAAGCTGTGGAGATTCTGCACCTACAATGCTTTGGAAACCAGGTTGTATTCTGTGCAGCATATCAGCATTGGGGGATTTTAATGGCTGTACAAGAGCCATCGACTCAGCAGTTGGAGAGCTTCTTCCGTGTGTTGAGGTGGTGTGCATATGTGGGTTGCTGTAGTACGACGGTTGGTCTAACGCACCACCTGGCCTGGAAGTTGTATTCGAAATCTGGAATGAAAATTGTGTGCTATGGGTAAAATGTTTGTCACAATCATGCAAGTGCTGCTGCTGAGGACTTTTAACAACGCACTGTGGAGAGCGCCTTAAGGCGTCCTGGGACAACCCAGTCAAGTTGTCCGGAACGCTGAGGCTGTGGTGGTAAGAGCTGCTTCCAGAGCATGATGACCCCAGTGAAGTATCACTTTGCTCGCTCTCAGGATGCACTGTTCGGAAGCAGCTGGGGCTGCTGAAGGAGCGGTCTAATGCGTTGGCTGTTGATGAGGATAAAGAACAATAATTGGCACCAGAAAGGAGTCCATTTCCAACGGAGAGCATTGAGAAGCACATGGAAAAGAAAATAGACAGTATTAGCCATATAACGGAACATTTATTGAACATTAATTGTTTCAAGTTTATTTGGTATTATAAAAAACTGTTCCTTTCCCAATAATTTGCATTAACATTATTTTTCTTAAAATAATAATTTAACGGTATAGACATGTAAAGTTGCACGATATATTTTGGCAAAATATTTAAATTAAATAATAATTCCTCTTGCAACATTTTCTACGAAAATCAAAATTCTTAGACGAAACATTTAAACACACTGATGTTGACAACAAGAGGAATGTGCAATATACCCATGGTGGTTGGCTCTCTGGGACGCAAATTTAAAGTCTCAGACTACAGTAATATACCGGTTCACATCGGGGATGTGTTCCTGAAAGTTGCGACGACGAATATCGAAACGCCATAAAGCAATTTTTACTACTAAATCAAGACAACGGAGGGTACAGTGATGCCGTGTGTTTATGGGCGCACCTTCATCCTAGACATATCCACAACGTTACATAAAATTATTAAAAATACAGTACTCAACACGAGTGTACAGTGGTTAACTTTAACACAAATGATACAGGGTACAATAAGATACAGTACACTATACAAAATCACCAAAATACTTACAGAAAGAATATATTGTATGCTACAGTATTGTACATTTCTTTAGTCGTCCGTGTACACAGTAGGTAGAGGTGAAGACGGAGAGGCAACAAACACGAGAAAGGACGGACGATGCTATCAGCGACGTACGTGTGAGGTAGAGGCGACACAAATCAGGCAGTGGTATCAATAAAGCGACTTATTTGCAAAACGACGCAACCTTTTAGGGGAGACGTAAATTGGGGCTCTACTGTACTTACACCTATGAAAACGTGTAAGCCACGTTGTTATTTGGTAACATGAAGCTATAAAGATCTGCCTGGTTCCACATCCAAAGTTAACCACTTCCAACACCACTAACCTGGGTTCTGTGCAGTCCTGGTGAGCCTAAGACGTTTCCACTCATTGTTCAGCCGGTCCACGATGTGCTTCTGCGTGCCCTCGTGTTGGAGCGAGCTGAGCAGACCATCCAACCCGAACGGATGCAGCTCTAGGAACTCGATGAGTCGCTCGGCCTGCCGTCGGCGCGTCGACTGGTACGAGATTTCCTCCGTATCGCTGCGGCTCAGCACTTTGCGTGCACGCAGGAAGGCGAAGTGTCTGTCGGCCTGAATCCGCTCGCTCAAGTAATCCAAGAGATTGGTCAACACCTGGAGGCAGAGTTGAGATGAACGTCAGGTGGGTGTAACCTCGTGGCAAGTGCAAGGTATAGGTGTGGGATATCACATTTCAGCAATAATGCAAACATCAGAACCACTATAGCGGTCCTATACTGCAATACTAATTATTACAGTACTACAGTTTACTAGAAAAAAAAATACTTAATTGTGCACTGCAGAAATTGCTGGAAAATAGAAAATGTTTATACTATGCTTGCCGAGACTACACAAATACAATGATGTCATGTGCAGGAGCGATACTGATGATATCACAAGACAAGAAGGATAGTGGACAACCTGAAGCCTTCATTCAACAGTGGACAAATGGGTGCTCATGATAACAAAGGTTGCTTGTGCATCTCGTACATACATATTACTGCGACCGATGTAAAGTGTAATTATGTCTAGAATGTCACACAAACTTAAGTTTGTCAAGATGTAGTCGATCAGATGTTTATAACTACAAAAATAAAATAAAAACGGGGACCAAAACTCGAGGGCAGACGTCGATTAGAATTACTCATAGGGTGGGGTCAGCCTCAAGTTCTAAGTTGGGACAAGTCTTGTGCTAAACAGATTATATTAAATATTCTTTTTTCTTATTAAGTATACAAGAGCGATCTGCCAATTTTTCGTAGTGGTTTGTTGCCATGTTAATCCAAATCAAACAACTTGCAGGCATTTTTTCAGCATTGGGATGTTTGGTCAGTATCAGTTACAAATTGTGTGTGGTTTTTTTATTAACTTTGGCAGAAAACTGCAGAACCTATAGCAAAGACATGCAGAGCAGAGAGAGAACAAACTCGCACAACAAGCGTTGCTACCCACTGCGGCCACCCTGCTCCCCCCCCCCATTCAGAAGCAATATTTTGTTACATTGTAACCATTATCTGCGAACCTAGTGAATTCACCTGTAGTGGACGATGATGCAATAGCCGAGTGGGCAAAGGCCACGCCACAGACCAGTTACTAATTATTTGACACTCCGATTAAGTAAACTGTGGTTGTGGTTCAGTTGAGTAGTTATTTAAAGTACCATTATGGATTACACACAACGATTAATTATATAATTGTATGCTGCGTTGGCAGTGGTGCGCAATAAACAAAATAAAAAAAAGGAATTTGTCAATAACACTGCCTTAAAACGTATATATAATACATGATGCTTTGGGCAATAACTCCACTTCATATCATAGAAGGGGCCAGAGAGATGGATAATAAGGTCAGAATAGATAAGAGTTGAAGACAGAAGTGTACTTTGCACCAATTACTGTAATAATTGGGCCCAGGAATGCATTGCTTCGTGGCCTTGCCCATGTGCTCACAAGAAGACATCTTCCCACAACGCAAAATTCCGGCAGCTTTTCATACGACTTAGTTTATGGAGAAATACTGCTTCGGCATTGACACGCGTTTTGGCTGTTACCCAAACAGCTGATAATAGGTAACTATTCAGGATAATTAAAAAAAAACAGTCATCAGAACAAAAATGGTGTAAAGTACAGTCTCCGACTATTATTATCCATACTCTGGTTCTTTCGGTAAAAGTCACTATCTCTCTGGCCCATGTGTTACTCAGGGACATTACCCCAAAACGTGCAAAACATTTTTATTTAAAAGGCAGTACATTATTGCTCATTCCCTCCCCTCGCCCCTCCACTTCATCCCGTCACTCCCCTACACCAATCCTTTCGTGACCCCTACATGCCCTCTGTTGTCACTCATTCCTAGGCTCTTGCAATCAAAGTCACTCTCTTTTGTTACCGCTTTGTAAACTATGTACAGCGCCTTGAGCTGAGGAGCCCTATAAATATGAATACGATACGATGTTAAGTGTTTACAAAAAGTAAATGGCTTTGTATGCCATTAATATGACCAACTACCTTCCACTCGTTTTCAATAAACACAGCTCAAGGATCATTGACAAGCCTAGACAGTGTACAGTGCAGGCAAATATCGGCTTGTGACTGCAGAATTAAGAGTTAAAGTACAGCACGTATTACTGAAAGTTGGTGCGCCAGATTTTTGTAGTGCGCTTCAATGGCAAAGGCCATGCCTTAAACGTAGTTGACTGGGTAAAGCCTTCACGTAGTAAGGTATTATATTAGTGTATTGAACTTCCTTCGCGCCGTACGTAGCCCAACGTTGATAATCGGAGGTGCGGAGGAAGGACAACAAACTAAACAAAAAGCAGTTATATTTTTTTTACCGACGTGACATTACCGAAAGAACCAAAGAGTATGGATCATCGCGGTCACGAAAACTTAAAATCTAGAAGTTCTAAAGAAGTTCGTTTTCAATCGAGGTTTAACATTCTTATGACGATACAGTGGTTGGCACACGCCTGTAATCCAACGCCGTGGAGACAAAGAGTTTGGAGGTTCACACAAATATCCGAAAATCCCTTCTCGTGGGTGTCGAGATCATCACACCTTGGATTTATTTGGGTTGTTTTTTTGCCGTAGTAACCACACCTCCATCGAAAATGAGCATTCATTGCCCAATGTGCTTTACCCGTGTTAAAATAAATTATTGCCAGAAGGCAGAGTAGAACAACACGTTTGGACTAATGTCCAACTCTATCGGATAAGAGAGTTTCTCCTTTCGCATGCATGGGCGCATGTTTTCTCCGGCTACTTCCGTTTCCTCCGTGATATAACACTAATTAATTGGCGGATTACACCTGAACATATAGAAGCGCAAATCTCGATGGTGGGAGGTAAATTGGCTCCTGCTCACCAACTGGCTGCCTTTACGTCGGGGGGTTGCTCACGTTTACAAGTTTAAAGTATTCTACTCCACTATAGTACTGTAACGCAAACTGGGTGAGCCAACAGGAGTAATGTACACACATTAAAACCCACTTTGCCTACGCTACAGATTGAGGAATGTGAACTGTAGGCAGGGCCGGATTCAGATTTTATAGGCCCCTGGGCTACAGGTACTGCGAAGCCCCCAGCAATATTTTCAAAAGGAAAACAAAGTTTAAAAAAAATACAATTTATTTTTACAAGGCTAACAACAAATAAAATTCAGCATTCACAAATTAAATAACTTTTCACTTAATCTCTGGAGGCCCATGGGCTGCAGCCCCTAAAGCCCCCCACGCCTTAATCCGGCCCCGACTGTAGGTTAAACCACCTTAGAACCGTAGTAATATTTGACCATACTTCACCACACGCAGAGATCGTCAGAGCAGACTTAAGGCTGTTTTACCCCACTGCCACCTGCCCACCACGGAGTGTGGTGATACTACAGTACAATATTATTACTGTACTGTACTCTTATTATTCTTATAAGGTCGCACTCATTACAAAGTGCTTGCCACAAATGAACCACAATACCTTGCGGATCTCGTCAATGAGAGCGACACAAACCATCATCACGTCAACTCCGGTCATCCTCACAGCAGCAGCAAGGAGCAGCAGCAGTGGGGTTCTCTGGCTAAGCCATCAACAACAAAGGCGGTGGTCACCACCGCAGCAGTAGTAGCAGTAACAGCAGTAGCAGCAGTAGTAGTTGCAGTAGCAGCAGCAGTAGTAGCAGCAGGAGCAGCAGTAGTAGTAGCAGTAGTAGCTGTAGTAGTAGCAGCAGTAGCTGTAGTAGTAGCAGCAGTGGGCTTCTCTGGCTAAGCCATCAACAACAAAGGCGGTGGTCACCACCGCAGCAGTAGCAGCAGCAGTAGTAGTAGCAGCAGTAGCAGCAGCATCGCTCGCACTCTCAGATGCGAGGGATTCTGCAGCCATCTGGAACGTTCGTTCCCCCCGATATTAGGAAGCTACTGTGGAGCTATGCAACTTTAAAGTCATCTCGAGTGAAACCTCATTGCCTTAGAACTGTTGTGTGTGTGTGTTTAGTTCGTTGTCCTTTACAATCGCACCTCCGATTAGCGCGGTTGGCCACGTACGACGCGAAATAAGTTCAACATGCACACAAAGTAGGTTAAGAGTTAGCGAGCGTAGTTGGTGACCCAACAATGTTCAGCCCCGGTGCCACTGGTCCCCTCCGTAGTGGCTGCTGCTGCTGCTGTGTTGACCGACACACGCCGCGATGGGGGGGGGGGGGAAGACGACAGCCTGAGGGGGAGCCACGCACGTCAAGTCGGTGACCGCACTTGTGTTACCTCGCGTTTAATGTCCTGCTCAACTTCTTCGCCGAGTGGCATCGTCGTCTTGCTGCTGCTGCTGCCGTTGTTGTTGTCCCGAGTAGTCATCACCGTCTCCCCCACAGCGTCCATATACCCCAAGGGAAAGGCGGCTCCCGTCATAAAAGAAAGAAAATCGGGCTGAGGCCTCAAATCCGGACCCAACCGCCCCCTTTTTGGCTTCGACGATTCTTTGCGAGTTAAGTAAATGTCGATGTTGTTTGGTTATTTTGTGTTTGTTTTAATTCACGAAGAGCGTGAACCACAAAAGTAGTAGTACTACTGCCGCCGGCCACCCCTCCCTCGTGATAAGAGGGTGAACCGAACGAAAACGAGGAAGCTGACCACGCCATCACCACGGGAATAATTTATGCTAATCGCCGACCAATCGGATCTCACGCAAAGCGCGGGAACTCGTTAATATTCACGAGCTCACAAACTCACCACGGGAATAATTTATGCTAATCGCCGACCAATCGGATCTCACGCAAAGCGCGGGACACTCGTTAATATTCATGAGCTCACAAACTCAACACGGGAATAATTTATGCTAATCGCCGACCAATCGGATCTCACGCTAAGCGCGGGACACTCGTTAATATTCATGAGCTCACAAACTCCATTTGCTCCGAGGGGGTTCCGATTGCGACGCGCGCGCCGCCTCATGAATATTAATTAGGCGAGCGAGTTGAAAATTCAAACGCCTTTCGATGACCCCAAAAACTGCTTGTGCTGTTCACCCGTTAACAACAAAAACAAAACCCCCCACATACTTGTCCAGTTTTCCAAAGTCGTCGATGACCGTGTCTTCGTTTTAACAATCAGCAGCAGCCATGGCCAGTCCACTGCTGGATGATATCCTCCGTAAATTGTCTCTCCACGGTTCTGCGATGTAAAAAGAACAATAAAAAAAGATAATACGTGTCACTCTGAATCAGGCGATGTATCTAGACAGTATTTTAAAAGTTATTTGCTGTGCTTTCCTATACGTTGCACTCCTCGTAGTTTGTTGTACCGTTCGCTGCTGTAACATTCTCACTCCATGGAACACCGGTGAAACAGAGCTTTACAGCTCATCGGATTCCTCCCAAGCATAAATAAACGTGATTCTCATTCAGTGAATGGGAAGTTGCCAACAGGCGCATGGAGTGTGAATATTTCGAGTGGCGTGTGCCCCACATCACACACCAAACGACACAAATAATCGAAGAATCCCCACCCACACCAAGTGTAGATTGTAGCACAAGACTGCCAGGGCGTGTGCTGTTGGCGAGCAACACCACGCTCGGCCGCCTTTGTCTCCCTCGTGGCAATGTTTACACGCCGGGTTACTCATTTGAGGCCGAGTCGACCTAGGGGAGAAGGCCCAGGACAGGTTACGGGGGACGTATCCTTTAAGACGAATGGAACAATCCGTATAGGAACGTATAACTTGATCCCTGAAGCTTACACACACAGAGAGAGAAATATCCTTCCCGATAGTTAATTTAGTTTATAATTTAGTTTATAAACATTCAAGCGAGGCTGACCGCTGACGATGGGAGGATAACTCGAGTCAAAACCGGTTCGCGGTTGCTTGTCTCGCGCCGAATAATAAAAATGTATATATATGATATATATGATCATCCACGTTTGCTTAGGGGCCGTCCATAAATGACGTCACGCGATTTTGGACAATTTTTGCCCCCCCCCCCCCCTTGGTCACACGGCGTCACAAAAAGTCAGACCCCCCCCCCCTCAAATATGACGTCACAAAGCTCTGCCCCCCCCCCCAAAAAAATATATAAAACATGCTTCAAATCGCTTGAAACTATTGTCATTGTAGTGCGTATTTAATGTGGCGCTGCACTCTGATGTTGTAGGAGAAAATATTTATTTAAAAGTCTATTCAATGAAGTAGAACGTGTTGTCTATATTTATTTAGAGTTGCGCATCTTGATGTGACGTCACATTTCTCAAACCCCCCCCCTCGTCACACATCGTCACAAATGTCTGACCCCCCCCCTAGGTGCATGACGTCATTTATGGACGGCCCCTTACTCGCTCCCACAATGCCTGTGCCGCGGGGACCCCACGGGTTGTTGTGAAGAACTTATACTTTGTCGTGATGCGGACGGGTACAGGAAGGTGACGTTATTTTTTGTGCTGTTTATAATTATAATCTGCAGCACTGTTAAGAACTATTAACTACGACTGTGTGTGTGTGTGGATTACGTAATTACTACAGCGTGGGGAGCGGTGGCGCAGCGGTTAGCGCTACGAACCCCGGCGACCCGAGTTCGATTCCCGCTCACAGCCAACAAGCCGGTGACGATTATCTGAACCGGTCCTGGGCCTCCCCTAGATCGACTCAGCCTCAAATGAATACTGGGGAGACAAAGGCGGCCGGGCGTGTGCCGTGCCGGCCCTTCATAGGTGGTACTCGCTAACAGCACTTGTCTCAACAGGCTGTAAAGGCTACACAGGGGGGGGACTTTGTCTTTGTATTGCAGAATGACGTCATTGCATGACGTCATTGTCTCTGAACGCGGCTGGTTAACTCAAAGCACGGGGGTTTACTGTCGTTAATTCTGTGAAGTTTCGAACAGGGGGGGGGGGGGTCGGCAAACCTGCGGCTCTTTGGCTGCCCCCCCCCCCCCTTGCGCCTCGCCGTCTTTTAATTTTTTTAATCTCAATTCACTTTATTCGCTTCTTAAAATAAGCATTCGCTTCTTTAAGCACTCTCAAGTTTTACCACAGCCCCGCTTTTACGACGTCAACGTCACGATGCGTTCTGGAAACCCCGTCGTAAATAGGACCTTATTTTTTTCCCATTGACGCAATGTTGAAACCCCGTCGTAAATAGGACCTTATTTTTTTCCCCATAGACGCAATGTTGAAACCCCGTCGTAAATAGGACCTTATTTTTTTCCCCATAGACGCAGTGTTGAAACCCCGTCGTAAATAGGATCGCCGTAAATCTGACTTTCTTGCCCCAGACGCAATTTTGAAAAACCCCGTTGTAAATAGGATCGTCGTAAACGGGAACTTATTGTCCCAGACGCAATGTTGCCGTTTTGGTGACGACATGTACAAGCTGTATTGTTAAATGATAAAATGGGTGGGGGGAGGGGACTAAAGAGGAAGTTACTCCATCACTTATTTTGTTTAATTCAGAATTTTTTGTTATCTGCTGTATACAAACTGTTTGTGTACAAGTAGTTCCGCGTGTGATGCGGCTCTCGAAATACTTTGGTCAAAGACAAAAAAAATGTCTCTTTGAAAATTTTCCCCACCTCTGATCGAGACCATGGTGTTGCCGAGAAGTGTATGGACCCCAAAATGATGCTACTACTCACAAATAATAGACTCAAGATATTGTTACCCGGAATATTTACAATCGAATCTTGGGGTGGGGGTGGGGAGTGAATTGTTGAACACGCGCGATACCTGCATAACCGCACCCCTTGCCAGTGATTGCATCTTATCGAGCGTCTTTCCTGCTCGCAGTTTCCTCGAAACAAGTGGGCAGCCACGTCCGAGGGAAGTCCCATTTCCTCATCGTTTTGCATACCGGTACCAGTACACTGAATAAGAAAATAAAACCCCAGCCCGTCTTGTGTGGTTATACCACCCGTACAGGCGAAATAAACAGGGCAAGGTCAGTGACAGTTCAGACTCGCCCTGACCAGCGGTGACGTTTTGGTCAAAACGAACCACATGACCGACACGAAGAGTCTTCACAACAGGTCCCTGCAGGGTGGGCTGGTAGGAACATTGGAATTTTTTTTACACCCAACGTTAAAGTATTGAAAGGGGACGGACGGACGGACACATTAATCTATTGCAGGCTGGTACACTCAGTTTACAACTTCGTTCCTACCAGTATAACTCCAACCTCTTCCAAGTCGTCTGGCCAGTGTGGAGGCGTAGGTCAAATGCCCTTCTACAGGGTGGTAAAAATGTCTTGGGACCCCCATTTCTGTAAAACGTAATGTTTTTTTTGTATACCACCGAGTGTGAAAACAGAAACGAATAAGGGAACATTTTTTTAGGGGTCAATCAATTGGAGGTCACAAGACATCTGGACCATCCTGTAGAATGGCTCTTCAGAGCTCGCTCTAGTGGAGACCCATCAGCCAGCAGTGGCGTTAGACAGCAATTGTAGGGCTGCACTTTTACCTTAGAGTACGAGACACGACAGCCACTACATTTACTGTTGCACTCACGGATGCAATCTCACAGGCTGCTTACAGCTACATAGACGACCACAATGTGCACAGGTTATTAAAAGGTACGCATGTTTACCGACATGCGCAGCAAGTTATATTTCTCGTTGGTTGCGAATTGTTACGTACATTATTCTACATACGAAATGTTCAATGACGAGATAAATCACAATCTGACATTGATTCCGCAGTTTTGCATTCCATTTGATCCTCATAGCACAACCATAAACTACGCCTTTGTGTTGCATAATTGGAGTAATTAACACACGGGTGTTCTTTAAACCCCTAGCTAAAGAAGCGGTTATTTCGGTATAGGCGGCTAGGATTCTTGTTAAAGTTTTACCCAGACTTGGCATGTATCCCAATCCAATTCCCATTTCAAAGTGGTGATGTGTGCAAGCGACTTTACAAAGCCAATTTAATGGGATGCAATCTATTTTTTTAAACGTAACTAAAGTGAGTTTCCATCAGGTCAATAGATTCGCAATCCAATAGTGTATACAGTACAGCATAGGCATCAGGTATGTCTGCATATAGGTGCAGAACGGAAGATGACTCGCATTGAACGCCCATTTGTGGTTACAAGCACGGCTACATAAATTCACAAGGCGTGGCTCGCGACTGGTTAAACCCACAATGTGTATCCCACATGCGCAACTGACCAAACGAGATTTTGAATCGTTGCATTCAATTAATTATCAGTCACCGGTATTAACAGTTAATTCTAAATACATAATCAAATAGGTCACACAGATACGCGCAATGTTTTTTTCTTCTTCTTCAGCAAAGTACTCTGCAGGCGTACTCTTTGGTTCTATTCGGTAAAGTCACGTAGGTAAAAAATTAAAACAAAAATCACGACGTTTCGGCCACAACACATGCGGCCGCTTGTGCTGTGGCCGAAACGTCGTGATTTTTGTTGTTTTAATTTTTTTACCTACGTGACTTTACCGAATAGAACCAAAGAGTATGGATCCTTGCAGTCACGAAAGCTTCAAATCTAGAAATACTCTGCAGGCGGTATAGACAAGCCATGAACTGTTATAAAGACGTGCGAGCTATTCCCAGTTGGGACTTTGGTTCAATGCACAAGTGAAACGTCAAATTCAAGCGCTCGTGTTTTCGAGTAAACGCGCATCGGACGCGTAACCTATTTCAGTGGAAGCCAACACCCAAAGGCAGCCAAAGACCCACCTTCAACAAATCAATCAATTTCCCTGAATGACATGAAACGGAAGTCGGTTTTAGCAGTTGCGCAATGCATTCCAGGTTTTACCCCATGCTGTTCGGGACGATGTCCGACATTGTCACACTACCTGCTAAGAGCTTCTTAAGGAACTGAACATGTCAAACATCGTGTCAACACGATGGCATTCACTTTCCGTTTGCTCCCAAACGTTGTAATTAAGGCGTCCAACATTAATGTATAAAGTCACAGAAAACATTCCAAATATGTATTGAGGGAAAAAAGTATTTGATCCCCTGCTGATGTTGTACGTTTGCCCACTGACAAAGAAATGATCAGTCTATAATTTTAATGGTAGGTTTGTTTGAACAGTGAGAGACAGAATAACAACAAAATCTAGAAAAACGCATGTCAAAAAATGTTATAAATTGATTTGCATTTTAATGAGGGAAATAAGTATTTGACCCCCTCTCAATCAGAAACATTTCTGGCTCCCAGGTGTATTTTATACAGGTAATGAGCTGAGATTAGGAGCAAAATCTTAAAGGGAGTGCTCCTAATCTCAGCTTGTTACCTATATAAAAGACACCTGTCACAAGCAATCAATCAATCACATTTCAAACCTCTCCACCATGGCCAAGACCAAAGAGCTCTCCAAAGATGTCAGGGACATGACTGTAGACCTACACAAGGCTGGAATGGGCTACAAGACCATTGCCAAGCAGCTTGGTGAGAAGGTGACAACAGTTGGTGCGATTATTCACAAATGGAAGAAACACAAAATAATTGTCCATCTCCCTCGGCATGGGGCTCCATGCAAGATCTCACCTCGTGGAGTTGCAATGATCATGAGAACGGTGAGGAATCAGCCCAGAACTACACGGGAGGATCTTGTCAGTGATCTCAAGACAGTTGGGACCATAGTCACCAAGAGAACAATTGGTCACACACTACGCCGTTAAGGACTGACATCCTGCAGCGCCCGCAAGGTCCCCCTGCTAAGAAAGCACATATACATGCCCGTCTGAAGTTTGCTAATGAACATCTGAATGATTCAGAGGACAACTGGGTGAAAGTGTTGTGGTCAGATGAGACCAAAATGGAGCTCTTTGGCATCAACTAAACTCGCCGTGTTTGGAGGAAGAAATGCTGCCTATGACCCTAAGAAAACCACCCCCACCGTCAAACATGGAGGTGGAAACATTATGCTTTGGGGGTGTTTTTTCTGCTAAGGGGACAGGACAACTTCACCGCATCAAAGGGACGATGGACGGGGCCATGTACCGTCAAATATTGGGTGAGAACCTCCTTCCCTCAGCCAGGGCATTGAAAATGGGTCGTGGATGGGTATTCCAGCATGACAATGACCCAAAACACACGGCCAAGGCAACAAAGGAGTGGCTCAAGAAGAAGCATATTAAGGTCCTGGAGTGGCCTAGCCAGTCTCCAGACCTTAATCCCATAGAAAATCTGTGGAAGGAGCTGAAGGTTCGAGTTGCCAAACGTCAGCCTCGAAACCTTAATGACTTGGAGAAGATCTGCAAAGAGGAGTGGGACAAAATCCCTCCTGAGACGTGTGCAAACCTGGTGGCCAACTACAAGAAACGTCTGACCTCTGTGATTGCCGACAAGGGTTTTGCCACCAAGTACTAAGTCATGTTTTGCAGAGGGGTCAAATACTTATTTCCCTCATTAAAATGCAAATCAATTCATAACATTTTTGACATGCGCTTTTCTGGATTTTTTTGTTATTATTCTGTCTCTCACTGTTCAAATAAACCTACCATTAAAATTATAGACTCATCATTTCTTTGTCAGTGGGCAAACGTACAAAATCATCAGGGGATCAAATATTTTTTTCCCTCCCTGTATAACCCTCAAGTAAATGTGTAGTCACATAGAAATGATAAACGCGAGACTGCTTTCAAAAAAAGTATTGTTGTGTTTACCACAACCTATTCGTTTTCCTATTTTCAGAACATTGTTAATCCCTCATGCTAAGTCACCAGAAGAATATGCAGTTATATCCCTCAAATTTTAAGCACAAGAGCAAACCTCATATGCACTCGATTGAAATTACCACTTTTTAAAGAGTCAAAAAATATATTTTGCCTTCTTTATTTTACTGACATTTTAATCAAATCACAGCAGTGAATGTGTTTCAACGGGTCAATGAGCCAACATCCAATACGCACAAAGAAAACCACTATGCAAAGCAGGCACCCTTGTTTAAAAACGGCAAGAAACGTTTACTTAATTTCCCGTTCAATACAAGCACCAGCCTTTTGCAAATCACAGGTCATTTATTTACCTCCGTGCAGGCAAAATAAATGCCCAACAGATGAGTTTACTAGCCTTTCAAGTGGCCAGCATAGGTGCAGATTTCTGCTCAAAAAGTGACACGTGTCAACAAGACAAACTTGTTAATTCCCTGACAGTCAAATTCCAGCCAACCAGGCAAGGCGTTATGCATGGCCAACTTTCCCTTTGCTCTTACGCAGCCATCAGACCTTACCAATTATGTTTTTACGTCATAATTTTACCCAGAGAAAGTATGCACCGTTTAATGATGGTACGCGTATGAAATATCAAAATGCTCAAATCCAGAGATCGATTCTTAAAACTGTTGCTTCCTGCTTCCAGTGGAAATCGTTAACAGATCTGCAAAAGTACCCACATTTGATGCCATATGCAACATTGTCAATGGCTGCGAATAACAATCAACAACCGAACACATACTTTGGCAAACGGTAACGCTGTGAACTTTTAAGCACATTTGCTTAGTGTTAAAAAGCCACAATTTGTGTAGCATGAGTGAACCATAATCAGTTTCACTTGGTCACATCTTAATCCAAGTAGGGAATATAAGCCGACTGAAACACTTTAGTCAACTGCACCATTTGTAAATGACGATCCGATTTGACAATAATCAACACTGCAGTAAAAAAAACCATTACTGCCAAGAAAACCACAACTAGCTTACAACATTCAAAACTGCTCCCAAGTTAAAATAATAAAAAAGGAAGTTGGATGTTCTATCCGCAAGTTAAAAATAATTTAAGTGATTTATTCCATTTGAAAATATCAGAATGCAAATTGAAACTTATAAATAACATTTCCCAATAACGCGTATGAAAAAAACTGTACTTATTATTTAGGCTTGAAAACCATTACTTGTTATGTACAATGAAGGTAGCAGTTGTGAAATTGAGGGAATTGCAAATAGTTCAAAACTTTCGCAGTATGGCTGCTGAACAATTCTTAAAATCCTTCATCCAACAGCGCACATTGTGTAGAGGCCACCCGGACGCGCGAACATAAGTAGTGCAGCATTTGTAAATCCAGCGAAAACCTCTTCTCATTAAAAGTAAAAGAGTTCAGGAAGGGTGAAGTGGCACGGTGGGCGGGCACCGCCGCCGCCTCCCATCACTCTCCGCGCGCGGGCCTTGCTCAACGACGCAAGGTGAAACACGCAGCAGGGGCAAGTCACCGCTCGGGCTCCAGCGCCGGGTGACTAGAGCGCTTCCGCTCTCGGCATCGCTTCTTGTGCGCCGGCCAATCGCGCTGCTGGCACTGTGAGCCACAGTAGCGCACGGCTTTGCAGCGCCCGCAGATGTGAAATTCTCGCAGCTACACAGATTACGGAGAACAGAGCGAGAAGGAACAAAACATATTTTAATCGTTTACCTGTTCACAAGCAGAAAGGCATGCACTTTTGAAAACCAGTTTTTAGACCAGGAGAAGCATAAAATGCCCAAAATTAACTCAAGGGTCCAAGGTGGGCAGCAAAATAATAAAATAAATTACACGACTATTTCCAACATCAAGTTATTTCCCTGCCTGAAAACAGCTCCGAACTCACCTGTCTCTCGATTGCAGTACAAGGGGGGTAGTGACACTCATAGTAGGCCCCACTCTCCTCCTCTCCCTCCGTTACTGCCTCTCCATTAGCGTTGTAGTACCGCAGGACTCCAAGCTCGGGGAAATGCTCCTCAATCGGGTCACTCGGCAGCTGCTGGATGGCCAGCCAATACAAACTCTGCTCCCTGCAGCCCAACAGCAGCACCACATAAGGACATTAACCAATTCAGTGATGAAATTGTTATATATGTTTTCATAAGTTGCCGAGATAAGATAGCAATTCATAGTCTGCGAAAAACAAGTTAATTGCAGCTGAAAATCCCAGTCTGCTTAATGTGACTAAAGAGCAGTGTATAACTACAGATTAGAAGGGCTCGATGGAAGGAAGTGGTGGAAGAAGATGAGTACATTGGATGACAACAGGAGCGGAACGGAATAGACGCAAGAAGAATAAAAATACAAGCAGCTGACCACCCTATGCAATAACGGGACTTTGGGCTTAGTAGTAGTGTCGTGGATTCAACCGAGTCGCAGATTTACTTCTCAGAAGCTACACTTTTTTAACACCAACACATTAACACAAAGGGGTTACTGCCCCTTTACCAGATAACCTATGGTGGTGGATCACACCAGGCTAACTATGCGAGTTACTGGGAGTAGCTACAACGTGCAAGACCCTGCCTTGGGTCCTCGTCCAAGTGTTGGCGACTTCTTCTTGGACGTAAAACGTAGATCTTCAGATGACAACAGCAACACCGAGCCCCGGTCCGTGGGGACCCCGTTTATATGCTCCCGGGTCGTGGCTGACCCCGCCCTTGGCCACGACCACCTTCGAGAAACCTCTTGTCGTTTCCCAACCCTTCCCGTAGGATCTCACCCTGACACGAGACCACCCCCTAGTCCCCACCTGGGGCCCCAGTGTAGATCTTACTTGTCACGTGCCTTCCAGGGTCAACCAGAGCACCATTACCAAGGGTAACCTCATCCCATGGCTGACACTCTCACACTTCCTCCTGTAGGAGTCAGCACTGCACACCACGTGTGGTGCCACTGAGCGCTATCCCAGCCCTCACCGAACCCCCTCTAGGGCTGGTACTACACCCACCTACGGGGTTGTCTGCGATGACAATGCATCACACGCCGTGCCCCTCTAGGGCCGGCACCACACAGTGACATCCGCGATGTCACTACAATAGGAATACTATGACGAACACGAGGTACTTGCCTCTGCTTCCTAGGGATCTCTTCCACAACCGGCTTCATGTTGGTGTGCACCAGCTCCAAGTTGTCCAATCGGTTGTCCACAGTCACTCCATTCTTGTGCACCACCGTGAACCCCGTGGCAATCCCTCCTTGGTGCCTCTCCCTATTGCACACAAGCACGCCAGTTTCAAGCTCGTCGCTCGTTTACGCACTCCACATATATTTGTCATAGCATCTTTCATCTTAAGGTTATAATCTATATGGACACCGCAATGTACTGTAGCAAATATAGTTGCACTATTTGAATATTTTATCATTTATATTTATGACTATTTCCAAGCTGACATTCTTTCAAATATAAATGGTTCTCATTATATTTATTTTCTGAGATACTAGATTTTCTTTAACTGTACTGTATAAATCTTCACTTAAAGCTTTCGTGACTGCAGGAATTCACTCTTTAGGTCTTTCGGTAGTCACGTAGATAGAAAAATAATAATAAAATAATAATACAATCACGACGTTTCGATCGCAACACGAGCAATCGTCTTCGGGTGAAAAAATACAGCAGGCGGACTGCTGAGGCAGGAAGAAATAGTTCAAATAATATATTGGGAATTACATGTCCAAGTAATAACACTTCTTTGTTAATCAGTGCATACACCATTAACATCCTCACCACTGGGAAATATTGCCCCTTTAATGTAACCAGTGCATGATTAGTCATTGACAAATCTTACTGTTTCCCACCACACTTCTCCAAAGGAGGGAAATATAAGCCAAATCATGCATCTGTAAAAAAAGGGCTAAAGCATAATGCTGGATTTTTAATGGTTCCTCAATTTTTAAAGTTTCCAAAAAAGCAAAAATAAAATTCAAAACATTCTCTACCACACATTGCAAATCACTAAACTATTTCTCACTCCAAGCATGCACCACCATTTCATTGTTTTCTTTGGTCAATAGGGATTAGTTGGCCCTGGCAATGATCCATGTGCCCCTGTAAAAATTTACACAAACAGCCTTTAAACAGCCCATGCCACCCACCATCTGCCACTGACAAAAGCAAAAAGAGCTCGATCTCATTTGTTTTAAGCCCATGCTTTTTGGATATGGGTGTGTGTGTGCCAAATGAAAGACTGCAGCTGCGCACATTCCATCTAAAGACTACGTGAGGCGGTAAGTGGCAAAAAGGTTATAGCTAAGTTATCTTTTGTTGTAGTGAACACAGTACCGAATGTAAAACACCACATCACCTACATGATAACGGGATACACATTGTGCACTTTTAATTATACCTTAACGACTGCTGCACAAAGCAGTCTGCTCACACAATTACACGCCAGAGCATTAAAAAAACATCACAATTATGCCTCAGCTCTCCTAAGTGTTTTTTGCGTTGAACCGACTGTTGTTCAGCATGTCGTCCAAAGTTTAATTCCACGTGCTGGGAGCTTCTTTCCAAGCCTGTACTGCTATGTTTTCTATTTAAGAAGGAGCTCAAGGAATGTGCAGCAAAACGTCTGACATCGTGCCGAACACATGGACCAAACCCAAAAACACTTTAGACAGCACAACCCAGTAAAACCTACGCAGCAGTGTATTTGAGTATACAATTCACATGGGATTTCGCCAAGGTTGCTACATGCCACGACTCTTATCCCATGGTGATCAATGATCCTGTGAAAGTGCATTATTGTGAAAGTGAGCTGTAATGTCAGTGGTATAGCACCGTGCTTCGATCACACTCTCAGCTGCTTTAGCCCCAAGCCACAGTAACAGCGACACTCAGTGCTACTCACCACAGCATCTCGTGTAGCCAGCAGCCCGAACTACGACCCTTGTTCAGATCAAAGACAAAAGCGAAGATTCGTGCCCCGTTCCCATCTGCGTCTATCTCCATCTTTGCCTACAGAAAACGAACATGAGGTTTGATCAAATAAAATTAATTTACATACTGACAAATACGCATATGCATCGCAAAGATCGAATTCTGCCATTACAGCAATCAACATCAACACACCATCAACAACACTAATGACGTTTTATATTAATAGCCATTGACATATTCCACGTCTAATACAGGAGGCAACTTAAAATTAGGAACTGTAACCAAGTAGAATGAGAATAAAATAATAAATTGATAAAATAACACAATAAATTCTCACGAAGTTTCGGCCACAACACAAGCGGCCTTCATCAGGTGAAGGGACGAGACTGTCTGGAGGACAGCGCTGGAGCCAGCGCTGTCCTCCAGACTGGAGCCAGCGGTGTCCTCCAGACTGGAGCCAGCGCTGTCCTCCAGACTGGAGCCAGCGCTGTCCTCCAGACTGGAGCCAGCGCTGTCCTCCAGACTGGAGCCAGCGCTGTCCTCCAGACTGGAGCCAGTGGTGTCCTCCAGACTGGAGCCAGCGCTGTCCTCCAGACTGGATGGAGGACAGCGCTGGAGTCAGCGCTGTCCTCCAGACAGTCTCGTCCCTTCACCTGATGAAGGCCGCTTGTGTTGTGGCCGAAACGTCGTGAGAATTTTATTGTGTTATTTTATTTTATCAATTTATTATTTGATTCTCATTCTACGTGACTTTACCGAAAGAACCAAAGAAGATTAATCCTTGCAGTCACGAAAGCTTTAAATCGAAATTGTAACCAAGTAATCAACACTTTTTCAATTAATACGTGCAAAAAATTACAAGCACTAATGTACAGCAATAAGAAACATATACACAGTATATTCATGCATTAACCCGAAACTGAAATTTTTTATATTATAAAATGCATATAAAACCCATAATTTACAGGAAAGTCTTACAATTTTAAGACCTTTTAGGCGTCCCACATTCGGGAAGATCATCCCATTTCCTTTTAAATTATGTTTTGCACATAGGAGGAAACCAGTGTAACTGCCGAAACCTGTAATTGGTTCTAACATTCAATAACTTGGCTGGTGAACCCACTTGCTGTACTACCATTTCGTGATCACCTCACAGCCCAGCAGTTTCAGGAGATTCACGAATCTGTGCTCTACCAACCCGCAGCCCAAAATGTCCTGGATGACTGACGTAGGCCGCCAAAGCAAGGCTTTGCGTTGATATTAAACATGCACAAATAAAGCTACGTTGTCAATCCACTGTTAGGCGAGGGCCTCTCTACAAGTTCCGTGGGGGATAATTTGACAATTCTTCACGGCGCTGTCCAGTGCAAGTTGGTGAAGTGGGAAACAATGGATGTTGCTGCATTGGCGTCCTTGCTGCTCACAACTTAGCCTGGCAGCCTATAACAATCTTGATGTTTTGATTTAAAGCTTTCGTGACTGCAGTAATTCATATTCTTAGTTTTTTCGGTAAAGTCACGTTGAAGAGAAACAACAAAATAACAAAATATATATAAAACAATAAAAATTCTCACGACGTTTCGACCATAACTCAAACGGTCATCACCTGATGATGACCGTATTGTTTTATATATATTTTGTTATTTTGTTGTTTCTCTTCAACGTGACTTTACCGAAAAAACTAAGAATATAATCTTGATGTTGTATGGTTGGTCGCCTGTCCCAAGACATATTCAGGCTCACAATCTAACCAGCTTAGCTCCCAAGATCTGACACAGCATCGCGAGCGCTGCTAGTCATGGGTTCAACATTGTGATATGCCAAAGCTCACCTCAAAAGCGTAGCTCTCGACCAGCGGGATGTCCCTCTCGTCTATGAGCGTGTACTTGGTCTGCGAACACACACACACACAAAAGGGACAACGTGAACACGGCATCGTGTCGCCAACCGTTGGCGCCTGTAAAAGGCAACATTCAAAAGGCAGGAACAATTGGTTCATGTGATTTCATCGATTAAAAAAACAGGCTGCAGCGGCAATGTTTGATGCACGTGTTTTTGTGAATGGCCCTCCCTCTTCCCATGCTGTCACTGGCAGTCATGCGGGCACGCGTCTGCTCACAAGCTACAAGACCCCTCTCAATGCTTAACCAGCATTGTAGCAATCACCGTCCAGCGAATGGCTTTCGTCTTCCTCTCTTGCCGTGTATCTTTGTAACGTCATCATTTACAGCTGTACTGTATGGTTGTAATACCTCCGATAAACAAGTTCAGGCTGCCTTTCCTCTCCGCCCTATGTCACAATACTACTCGCCCTCCTGCCCACACGAGAGGGTTAATTATACAGCAAATGACAATTTAGCGATACTCCGGCGACAGTGATGTAACAAAACACACGCAAATAAAAGCACTGCCCTCAAAGAAAAGGTGTCCAACACCTCCGATAAGCAGGGTTGGCGGCTACGTACGGTGCGAAAAAAAAGCGTAACACATCATTTTATATAGTCATTCATGTAATTGCATCCCACAACGCTGCAACATCAATTAGCCAGTTCCTTACACAGATCATACAAACACATACAGTGCATACAAGCGACGTTTTAAGGAAAATGTCCCTTATTCATAGCACAGGACACACGAGGCCAGAGGTAATATGCATCTCGATTCTCGTACGTAATTCTAATTGTATTACACCGTAGAGAAAATCGCGTGTCGCTATTTTGTTTTGCTCGCCCATGTTCTCGAATAAAGCGTTGGAAGACCAACGCTACAAATTCACGTTAAACCTTCACGTTCGTGAGAACGTCCTATACTCAAGACTGGTACGATTAGTTGAGCTCTGTATAATAAACACACGCACGCGACTCAAAATGCGGATACGAAAACTAAATTATTTGTATCCGCATACATTTTTATATGCGTCCGAGTGGACACCCGAGCGTGGCGAGAATCATCGGCCTTCTAATTAAAAGGAGTCCTACAAGGAAAATGACAAACGCGAGCGCGTGGTGCGGTGTGTCACGTGTACGGGGTTGCGTACAGAAACTTTAAATCCATACAACTTTCACTCTGCCTCCCGTTAAAAAAAAACAGTGGCGATGCACCGAGCGTTTCAGTCATGTCAAGCAACCGACGACTGCTGCCGAATCGTGACCGATTTAGACGAGAGCAGCACAAAATATAGCGAGTCACGCATCGGGTCTCGTAGTGTACAGCCCCATGCCGGCGGCCTTGCTTAGGCTTCCCGACAAGAGAACCAGGCGAGAGACGGCGTCGCTCGTTTCGGGCAAAACACCGGCTCGCAACATCCGCTTTTGTCTCTCACATGGGCGAGAAGTCCCTACACCCCTTCAAAACTGCACGCCCATAGCACGTCTCAACACAAGTGTATAGGGACTTCCCGTCCACCTTATATACATGGCGGACTACACGTGGCCGACGGGACGGGAGCGGTTGCGTTTATTTAAAACGCCCAACCACGTAGTCACCGCGGTAGCACATTCACGTACAGGCGCAAACACGCAACCCGCGGTTGTTAAAACGGCGCGACGCGTAAACGACAACAACCACGGGCACTCGCCAAACAAACCGCAGAGAATGTGCTAGAATATCAACGCCGGCTGCAAGGGGCCTACACGCCAAGGCTGCACCGCGTGGCGTAACGAAGGAGACGCGGCCCCACCGCCTCGTACCTTGCCGGCCACTCGTCCCAGCCTCACTATGCCCAGCTTGAAGTCGGACATCGCCACGGAATGAATATGAAGGAAAGGGAAAAATTAAACTCCTTGTAAAGTTGCAACAACAACAACAAAAACCCGCACGCGCGTAATAAAACAAGCGAGAAAGGGAGGGGGGGGAGAGGGCTGCGATTCGGCGGCGTGCGTGACCCCCGCGCCCGGGCGAAACCATATGGCGATGACGTAGCTCGACTTCGCGTGACGTCATTTACGCGGGAAAAACGCGGGGATGGCGGGAAAGCGCAGCCACGTGGGTGGGGGGGGGGAGCACGTGGGCGTGGGACAGTTCGGGGTGGGGATTGGGGGTTTACACAACGCAACAAAGAACGCGTAAACAAATTGTCGATTGCGGGCGTTAAATCGATTAGTAACGACTGTCACTGTGTGCGGGGTGGGGTGGTGAGCGGTGGTGCAGCGGTAAGCGCTACGAACCCAGCTATCTGGGTTCGATTCCCGCTCACGGCCAACACCAGTGACGATTTTATGAACCGGTCATGGGCCTCCCCTAGGTCGACTCAGCCTCAAATTAGTAGCTGGTGCGGTGTGTAAACATAGCCACTGGGGAGACAAAGGCGGTCGGGCGTAGTGCTGGCCACCCACTCCCTCGTGTACCGTTCCGGTCTTCATAGGTGCTCGCTAACAGCACTTGCCCCTACAGTCTGTTGAGGCTATACGGGGGATCTTTGTTTTTGGTGGGGTGGCACAGTAGATGGGCACAGGTGGTGCATCGGCCGGTCATCTCAGTCGATCCGTGGCACCTGCTGAGTCTGCCCCGTGACCTCCTCCTGCCAGCGGGCGTTCGACACTTCACGTGGCCTCAACGTGCACCTAGCCTGGCACAAGCGCCGTGGTGACGTCCCGGCCACTCAAGTGGCGGTTGTCGGTGGGGTGGGGGACAACGAGGCCTCTGTGTTATCTAACGTGGGAGGCGCGCGATGAGAAGTCGCGGAAATGCATGGGGCGTGTTAACGATTTATCAATCTGGCGTTTGCTTCACTTTAATCGATGCTTCAGGTCGACGAACCGTCGTGAGCTTCGGCGGACAGTATACGAAACTACAGTACACGAGACTGTACAACCCCTACGGTGCAGATACGAGAACGGGAAGTGGCGAGAGTACGTACAGTAAATTAAACAGAATGAGTAGGACACCGTATGGACGCTGTAGAGATGCTACAAGTGAAAGAGTACAGGCGAGGCACAGGGTACAATCAATTCTGGATAAACGCCTCCCCGTGCCGTCTCGGGAACGGGAATTGTTTGACCATACTTCACCACCGCGTGGTCAGTGCGGGTTGAAGTTGGAGGGTGGAACAAGCCCGGTGCATGACAGGTGTATCCGTGCTGCCTCGCACAGGCTTGGAAATTGATGTGCCCTTATGCAATTTTAACTTATATACTTCGTTTTTTTTGGTAATTTTACCTTTTCCATACTTTGCACTCGTATCTTTCTTGGTGTTGTAACTTTTTTGACCCGCCCCTACGGGACATCTGTGAAACAAGAGCTTCGCAGCTCATCGGATTTCTCCAGGCTAAAGATTCAGATTCTGGCTCACACGCGCGACTAAAAGTGGAATCGCGACCCCCGAATTAGTGACATTAAAAATCTCGAGACTGCGAATCGTCGCACGAGTACTGGGGGGGGGGGGAGAAGAGCTGCGCCACGTGGCGGGCGAGCTGCGACTGCAGTGTCGACTGCTTTCTGCAGCTGCCCGTCCGTTCAACGTGCAGCTTGCTGCTCTAGGGTAGGGCTGAACGATTAAATCGATTTGGAATCGAAATCGCAATTTGAAACAATGCGATTAAGCAAATCGCAAAGGCTGCGATTTTTTGCGATTTCAAAAGTCCTATTACTTATTGGAATTGGTTTTTTTTATTATAACTTTATTTATTTAACTTAACAATTGCTCTTCTTTTGGTTCTTTCGGTAAAGTCACGTTGAAGGGAAACAATAAAATAATGAAATATATCAAACGATTAAATTCTCACGACGTTTCGACTGTAACACAGTCATCATCAGCCGTTGGTTTTCACACCTGATGATGACTTTGTGTTACAGTCGAAACGTCGTGAGAATTTTTATTGTTTTATATATATTTTATTGTTTCCCTTCAACGTGACTTTACCGAAAGAACCAAGAATATGAATCACTGCAGTCACGAAAGCTTTAAATCAAAAATTGTTCTATTGTTGATTGTTCTGTTTGAATGAAAGCTTTTTAACAAATACATGTTGGAAGCAATTAATATTTTTAAGTTATCCTTGCATTAGAATATATAGAGCCGTTCATATTTTGATGGTATCATGTGGCAATACTCCATTAAATGTTTTAAATCTATTACAGTGAATATTGAACTGAAGCTTGATTTTAAAAAAATGTAATCGCAAGATCTGTCAGAAAAATCGCAATTAGATATTTTCCCCCAAATCGTTCAGCCCTATACTGTAGGGCTCTCGCTCTGTTGGAGATTTCACTGCTACAGCTCCAAACGGGCTGCTATTGTTTCACTGTTGCAGCTCTAAACGGGCTGCTATTGTTTCCCTGCTGCAGCTCTAAACGGGCTGCTATTGTTTCCCTGCTGCAGCTCTACACGGGCTGCTATTGTTTCCCTGCTGCAGCTCTAAACGGGCTGCTATTGTTTCCCTGCTGCAGCTCTACACGGGCTGCTATTGTTTCACCTAAACGGGCGGCTATTGTTTCACCTAAACGGGCGGCTATTGTTTCACCTAAACGGGCTGCTATTGTTTCACTGCCGGCAGCTCTACACGGGCTGCTATTGTTTCACCTAAACGGGCGGCTATTGTTTCACCTAAACGGGCGGCTATTGTTTCACCTAAACGGGCTGCTATTGTTTCACTGCTGTAGCTCTAAACGGGATGCTATTGTTTCACCTAAACGGGCTGCTATTGTTTCACTGCTGCAGCTCTAAACGGGCTGCTATTGTTTCACTGCTGCAGCTCTAAACGGGCTGCTATTGTTTCACCTAAACGGGCTGCTATTGTTTCACTGCTGCAGCTCTAAACGGGCTGTTATTGTTTCACCTAAACGGGCTGCTATTGTTTCACTGCTGCAGCTCTAAACGGGCTGCTATTGTTTCACTGCTGCAGCTCTAAACGGGCTGCTATTGTTTCACCTAAACGGGCTGCTATTGTTTCACTGCTGCAGCTCTAAACGGGCTGCTATTGTTTCACTGTTGCAGCTCTAAACGGACTGCTATTGTTTCACCTAAACGGGCTGCTATTGTTTCACTGTTGCAGCTCTAAACGGGCTGTTATTGTTTCACCTAAACGGGCTGCTATTGTTTCACTGCTGCAGCTCTAAACGGGCTGCTATTGTTTCACTGCTGTAGCTCTAAACGGGCTGCTATTGTTTCACCTAAACCGGCTGCTATTGTTTCACTGCTGTAGCTCTAAACGGGCTGCTATTGTTTCACTGCTGTAGCTCTACACGGGCTGCTATTGTTTCACCTAAACGGGCTGCTATTGTTTTACTGCTGCAGCTCTAAACGGGCTGCTATTGTTTCACTGCTGCAGCTCCAAACGGGCTGCTATTGTTTCACCTAAACGGGCTGCTATTGTTTCACTGCTGCAGCTCTAAACGGGCTGCTATTGTTTCACCTAAACGGGCTGCTATTGTTTCACTGCTGTAGCTCTACACGGGCTGCTATTGTTTCACTGCTGTAGCTCTACACGGGCTGCTATTGTTTCACCTAAACGGGCTGCTATTGTTTTACTGCTGCAGCTCTAAACGGGCTGCTATTGTTTCACTGCTGTAGCTCTACACGGGCTGCTATTGTTTCACCTAAACGGGCTGCTATTGTTTTACTGCTGCAGCTCTAAACGGGCTGCTATTTCACTGCTGCAGCTCTAAACGGGCTGCTATTGTTTCACTGTTGCAGCTCCAAACGGGCTGCTATTGTTTCACTGCTGCAGCTCTAAACGGGCTGCTATTGTTGCTCGCGTTCAGCCGTGGCAGGGGCACGCGGCGTCTGGGTGCTGTTTGTTCACAGGAGGCTGACAATGAAGACTGCTGGCTGGCAGTGTTTCCTGCTCGGGACGTCGCTATGGAATCTTAACAGCGACCCTCCTAAATAAAGCACGCAGCTTCACTCGTGAATAACACTGCACTAAAGAAAACGTGAGACAGTAGGCAACCAGGCTCGGCCCTGCGTTGTGTAAAGTGGGCCTTCATTGGCTCAAGTATCAATTATAGTCCTGAATATACATAATTCTTTAGAATGTTTTATTTTGTATCAAATAGCAATATTAACTTTTTTTTATTTGATTAAAGGCATCGTCAGGCTACATAATTTGGGACTACAGAACCTTTTACTCAATTTCGGACTTTTATTTGTAATTTCGGTTTTAAGTGACTAGCTTAACTTCCATTAGTTTATACACAATACAATCATTCAAATAATTGTATTGTTGGTCATTGAATTTTAACAATCGATTTTCGGTTTAATCCCAATCTTCAGATATATCCAAAAATCGTAAAGATTTGTCACGTGTACAATGTTACCTAAATATGGCTTAACAATGTCCTGTACTCCGAGAGAATATTTGGCCATTCCGATTCTCATATTTGGATTAATGTAAAAAAGTCAATGCAATCTAGATATTGGTAAGTCCAGTTAATTGAGCCAATTCCAACCTATGTATTGCCATTAAGAGTTCCAGTTCGTGTAGCTGAGAACCCAATTAGAGAACAATTCATTTGAATGGTTGGCCCTGGTCAACGGCGCAACATCACTGCAATTCACAGGGTAAAGCAATGCTGCCCGGGGTGAGAGTCACATTTCCACACGATCCACCAACCCTTCCCTCCGAAGCAGTGGATCACAGGCCTGCTCAGTATGGATGGGACGTCGCATTTCACTGATGTGAATAATACGTTTTAAATATGTAGGCAATTTTGATCGACTTTTTAAGTATTTATTAAGTACAGGTTTCTTGCCAGGTATCGCATACGGGACAGATGTCCAATATCCAACCGCATATGTGTGAATTCAAACCACATATCTAAAATTTTGGGTCGACATAGGTTCGCGGCATATAAGCGAAATCGCACAAACTGAACCCGCATATAGAGGGGAACTTGTATTTTTATGAATTCAAATATTGTTCTGGGAACTCTTTCGCTGATGGTCGACACAGGTTTTGTTTTCATGGCTGTGGCAATACTGCCCCTCTCAGATCCATATACAAATTACCACCACTCAGGAAATATGGAGGAATTGTGTTTTAATAATTATGTGGAAAGCATTTATTATCCTACATTCTATACGAAACCATGGGCAATGTATAACCCAGTACTCTGATGTGGCTATGCGAATTTGAACAAGTGTCAAATACATCCTGATCTGACATTACAGCACTGTAATTTGCGACTCAAAGCCAATCCAGAGTAACCAAAGAAAACTAGAATTAAAAATTATAGCAGTTTAATTGACAATATAACTCGTTAATTTGAAATTAGTCTTGGCTGCATGGATAATTACAAGTTACTACCACAACAACATCATTGTTGGCAACATGTTTAGTGCTGGCAGCACACAGCATAATTAAAATGCTTTGGGAGAGCATTCTCAAGTATTATTGCAAACCCCTATACTCTTGACGAAGAATGTTGCCATTTTAATTCTCAAAATGTCTGCAGTCTCCATGTCACATGTTGTGGCCATTGAAAAACAAGGCAACTTTTTGTTATGCTCCATATAATGCAATTCCTGTACAATTTAAATTGACGGAAGTGCAGAATATTTCTAAACATCCGACCTGGAAAGCTACCGAAATTTGGCCAACAAACCCTGCCGAATGCTGGCAAGTTTTCAGTAGCGCATTGCCTTTTTGCCTTCCCACACAAATACAGTGCCAGCCTCGTTTCCAGATGTTTCCTGTCTGGTAAGCCGCTTCCCCAACACTCTACATAGAATTCCTTTGATTCCTAGAAATGCATTCGATTCAACGGAAATGCCTAAAGGGTTTAACTGAATGCGTACATTAATTCTGCAATTACAATCATCTATATTGTAACAACAACAAAAATCAATTACACTGCTTTATAAGTAAAAATGCTCAGGTGATGTTTCCGGCTATGACCCTTCATAGCACAAAGAAGCCAGGTAGACTATCAGTTGCAGACTGCACTCTACACCATGCAGAATGAAAACATTACATTTTAAATGTTTCCTGAATACTTTTTTATGCTTATGAAGTTACCTATTAGTAGTTGTGGAGTGACAGACACAACCTTCAGTAATGAAAACTGAATAAACTATTTGGTATTCAAAGTAAAATGACCACATTACTAGCACATTGCATTTTGGGAAGAATAGTTTTTGTGATGTCAATGCATAATCCACTGAGTCTGCATGTCTGAGTGCTTGAATAATTTCAATAATATCTATACTATAACTTGCCGAACCACCAACACTGGACATTTGTGAAAAATATCTGCAGATTACCCCTGCAGTCAAAATCAAGATGATGATTCTGAATAGGAAGAAACTAAGGGACTGCAGCTGCTCTAAATTCCTGAACCTTGTACTAGGGGTAGAGTAATTTACGTGAGACATTTAAACAACATGAGTTGTGTATGCGAATGTCTTGTTTGGCCCTTACTATCCAATTTTACAGGTAGGAACCTCCTGGTTACACCAGCCCACAGGGGATTATTGTGTCCGTCCGTCGTGCATCCAAAAATGGGAGGGGTGGGGCTGGGTGGAGAGGGGAGGGTGGGGAGGGGCTGGGTGGGGAGGGTGGGGAGGGGATGGGTGGGGAGGGTGGGGCTGGTTGGGAGGTGGGAGGGGTGGGGCTGAGTGGGGAGGGGAGGGGCTGGTCACCCCGTGGTGCCCTTATAAAACTCAACATTTAACCTACTCACGCCGGCTTGTGCCTGCCCTCACAGTCGGGTATATTTGCGGAATACACCACGTGGTGCTGCCGTTGACCCTGGACATTGACCGAGCAACCCAACGTTCCTACCAGCTCCCTCCGCAGGAATGTGTTAATAAGAAAAACTGAGGACGTACGCCCTATATGAAACCAAAAAAGGGATAAGGTTTATCTAGCATTCAATAATGCATCTACGTTTTAAATAAAGGTGAGGTGTATCTTCAGTGCTGTCAGATGAACGGTAATCAATCTGAATACAAGGCAGCCTTCTGTCCTTTTGTATGTATGTTTGTATGACTTCATGTTACACTATATAGTGTATACCATTCCATCCCTGCAAAGAACCAACATGCTCCCTTCACATGCCTTCCGAGTGCGATCTTTACACACCAATCACAATACATGCATGTGGAGAGTAAAGTAACCAAAGGTTGGCACCTTCTCCACTGAACAAACTCAGAAACAAGTCAGTCGAGGTCTGTTCCCTTTCGTTATTTCGGTAAAGTCACGTCGTGACTTTTTTAAAATTTATTTCTAACCACGTTACTTTACCGAAAGAACCAAAGAGTATGGATTTCTGCAGTCACGAAAGCTTCACATCAAGATCGAGGTCTGTTATTAAACGAACTACTTCGCCTGCAATAAGGAGGTCGTTAGTTTGATCCCGACTCTGACGCCTGTATATTTGGAGTTTGCACGTCTCTCTCTCTCCCCGTGGTGGCGTGTATTTTTCTCTGGGTCTTCCGGTTTTTCTCTCCACATTTAGAATCAACGAGCGTTTAGAGTATTTGGCTGCTACAAATGTCCACGTGATAAGCCACTTCGTCGAGCTATCATTTGTGACCAGGTGGCTTCTGGGAAAATACCTATAAAGTTCAGTTGGATTTGCCTGATCAAAATAAAAAAAAGTTTAGTTTAAAACTGTGAGCATAGTGTAATACAGTTCAACGCAATTACACCTGGTCTCAGTACAGCACACATCGATTAATGCCACCTCAAACATCGACACCAATTCCTGCACTGTTCAGGTAAAAACCGAACAGGTGGTAACCAAAGCGTAGTCGGGTGGGGATAAGGCAACAATTCCCTGCTTTTGGTTTCCTGCTGTTGCTTTTAAGCCTCAACAAGTGAGAACGAATCTTAAAGGTGTTCACTGCATTGTGCAGCATTTGCGATTCACTGCCCTCACGGAGGGTTTGAGAAAGCCCGGCGTTCCGTTTGTCCGTCCGTTTGTCCGTCAACTGAAGTATAAGAGCATTTCAGAAGACCTGAATCAAAAAGTTATAGAAAGTGGACCCTCCATCCCCAGATGTGGGGCTAAAAAGTTGATCCAAAGGTTTCAAAAAATTGTCGACCACCCCCCAAAAAAACATTTTCACCCCGCACCAAAAAAAAGGAATGTATTTTGTAGACATACGTGCCTACACACCCGACATACAATAGAGTCCATACTTCTTTTGTAGGCAGGAGCTCAAATAAGGCGGCCCATGGACCGCCGAAATACTCATTGACTAAAATTATTTGGATCTGGTACCATGGGGTGGCAGCATTGCATAAGACCTCAATTCACAACCAATCAGATTCTCATCCTCCCTTGTGAGCGCACCCAGCACCATCCTGCGTTATGCCAGTAAACATGCAATGTTGAAAACCATTGGACCCAACATTTGCCCAGCGTTCCATATACACTTTGACATCTTCCTTAGTAAACAATTCACAAACATTTATTTACGGAGTGGTTCGTGCATTACACTATGAGCCTGGCTACCTGAGTTCGATTCCTGCTCACGGCTAACATCAGTCGCAAAGTGATATCTGAATCTGTCCTTGCCCCCCTTCACCCTCTACCCCCCCCCCCCCCCTTAATCAACCCACACTGACCAGTGTAATGAAGTATGGCCAAACA